CCTCTTTCAAAATAATTTAATTAATGATCTTTAAAAATTTTTGCGACATACCTGGCTGGGCGAGGTGGCTCACATCTGTAATCCCAGCACTTAGGAGGTCACAGGTTTGAGACCAGCCTGAGCCAGAGTGAGACCTTATCTCTAAGAAAATAGCTGGGCATTGTGGTGGGTGCCTGTCATCCCAGCTACTTGGGAGGCTGAGGCAAGAGAATGGCTTAAGCCCACAAGTTTGAGGTTGCTGTGAGCAGTGAGGTCATAGCACTCTATTGAGGGTGACAAAGTGAGACTCTGTCTCAAAAAGATTTTTTTTTTTTTGGCGGCACACCTAAGATCCTCTCATGGCACACTGGTTGAAAATCACTGCTATAGACTCTGAGTAAAGCAGAATACCCTCCATAATGTGGGTGGGTTTCATCCGATCAGATGAAGGCCATAGAGCAAAAAAAGACTGAGGTCCGGAGGGAGTTAATTCTGCCTCCAGATTGCTTTTGGACTCCAGCCGAACATCAGCCCTTCCCTGGGTCTCTAGTCTATTGGTCTGCCCTGCAGATTTGGGACTTGGGATCCCCCACAATTACATGAGCCCATTCTTTAAAATAAATCTCTTTCCATATACACATCCTATTGGTCCTGTTTCTCCGGAGAAGGCTGACTAATACACTTCTCTTTCTGCTCAGTTCACTTATTCTATCTTCAGCAGTCTCTCATCTGCTATTAAGCCTGACTTCTGACTTTTTAAACTTCCATTGTTATGTTTTTTATTTCTCCAAAATCTGTTTGGGCATCTTTTAGTCAATAGATGGTAGGCTGAGTAGATTGTAATTACTGCTCCCAATGAGTCTCTCCCTTTCTTGTAACAGAATTATATATTCCTGCCTGTTGCCATGTGCCTTGCAGTTCTTTCTCAGGGAGGAAGACGCACACGTCACTATTCTGTTCACATTGGACTTGGCCGTCTTTGGCCAAGGAAACATGAACAGAAGTGACATGCTCTGTTTGTAGGCAGAAGCTCTGAGAGCCATCACAGAGACTGGCGTTTCTTTTCCCTTCTGGCCTGTTCCTCTGCTTAGATCCTGGAACAAGGAAATCACTGAAAGCAGAGTAGACCCACAGTTGACCCATAGACCTTTTGTTGTAAAAAGGGACTGAGATTTGGGGTTCACTGTCACTGTAGCAAAGCTGCATGACTGTCTCTCTCTCTCTCTTTTTTTTTTGCAGTTTTGGCCAGGGCCGGGCTTGAAACTGCCACCCCTGGTATATGGGGCCAGCGCCCTGCTCCTTGAGCCACAGGCACCACCCTGTCTCTTGTCTTCACATTATCAATGACTTCTGACACATCTTTAAATGTGCTAAACATCCCTGTTGTGTATACCCTGAAAATTTTGTCAGCATCTGAATTCTTCGTGGGTCTGGCTTACTGCCTGTTGTCTCTTGCTCGTGACGTTTTCCTTTTGGGTTTTGTAACCTCTAGCGTAGTCAGCCCTGAAATCTTTTGTTGGCCCAGCCGCATGAGGACCAGTTTGAGGGTCCAATTTTTCGGGAAAGAATTTTTCTGGAATAGTTTCCCTGTGGTCCCTGGTGTGTGTGAATAGTAGCCTCAGTAATGAATTTCAAAAACATCAGTTCTAACCCCAGGCACTGGTGAATATGGCCTTATTTGGAAGAAGAGTCTGCAAATGTGATTAAGAATCTTGAGATGGGAAGATGATACTGAATTATTTTTAAATGTAAGAGAGAAACAGAGTGATATTGGATCCCCAGAAGAGGAGAAATTGATGAGAACATGGATTCAGAGACTGGACTGATATGGCCACAAGGCAAGGGATGCTGACTTTCGGAAGAGGCAATGAATGGATTCTCTTTAGTGCCTCCAAACATCTTGACGCTAGCCCAGTGAAACTGATCTCAGAGTTCCAGAGTCTAAAACCAGGAGAGAATAAATTTCTGTTGCTGTAAGTCACCAAGATTGTGGCAGTTTGTTACAGCAGCCCTAGAAAAGTGGTGGGTTGGAGATTCATTCATTCCTGTACACAGAGTGGAAGCTCTCCAGGATTTCAGATTTATGGGGAGGTCCTCTTTAGCCCCCACCTTGGGGGGTCCTGGGACTCCGTCTCCTGTCCCCCGTGAGGGGCTAAAATCTCACAGAGTTTACCAAATGTCTTCAAAGTGAAAGATGGCACATGATTAACTTCTCTAGGTTTTGGCCCCTGAATAGTCCTTCCTTGCTTGCGAGAATACCTTTGGAAAGTTGTTTTTGAAACATTACATTTCTGTCACTAACATGGCTGGGATCTCACAGGCTAGATGACAGAGGCATCCCCTTACCACATATCATACCAGAGTAGGGTGACCAGACGGCCAGCTTTTGAACAATTTGTCCCACGTCCTGCGGTGTTTTAAAAAAGTCCCGATTTTTGGAAAGAATGCACGAACGGGCAAGAGAACAGTAAGGGACTACACGGTTTTCGGCTGCCATGTGGCTATTTTGCCAGGATATGAGTTTTATATTATTTTTGTTAATTTTATAATGTTAAACTGTAATAATAACAAATAATTGTTGAGACGTGATTATGGAGAACTGCTTATCAAAGTTTGCATTGCTGTCAGGTCCCGCCCCCTCCCCCCACCCCCATCAATGGTATCCCGCTTTACCAATGTTAAGGTCACCTTATACAAGAGGCATGAGAAGTCTTCGTCATTGAAGAGCTGGTGGAGAGAGAAATTGAATTATTAGGATGGGGAATGTGTGGGAGGACTTGTTTTCAGAACTTGGTCAATTCCCACGGTGGCAGGAGCCCGGCGGGGTGTGCACAGCCCAGGGCAGCAGTTGCATTTCTCAGTGTAAGTAGAGTCCGTGGTTGCTGAGCCACCTCCAGTGCCAGCTCAAATCACAAAGTCCTGGGGTCTTCCCCAGCAGGGTGTGGCAGCAGCTTGGGCATCAGTTCCTGACCCCAGGGACCTGTGCCATCTTCTTCCCTCTACTTCTTGTTCTTGGTAGGGAGGCTGTTTGCCCTCAGCCTCCAGACAGCCAATCTTGGGCTGTAACTCTTCTCCCTGAAGACCTTCAAGAGCCTCACTGTGTGTTGACTCCTTCTGCTGGCAAACCACATAGAGCAAGGTCTCCTTCCTGCCCTCCTCCTGTTCAGGGTATACACAACAGGGATGTTTAGCACCTGACTTGGTGGGTTTTTAGGACTGGGAGATCGGTGTCTCTTTAGCTCTCTGAGGCCAGCTCAGGGTTTTAGTTGCAAATATCAGAAGCAGACTCTGGATGACACAAACGAAAAAGAAATTTCTTAATAGGATATTGAAGAGGTTACAGAATCTCAGGAAGGGTTGGCGGAACAGCTTTGGGGACATGGTGTAGGAACAAAGTCCCTATTAGATTTGGCCTGGTGGGAACATCACTGCTGCACCTGCAGGGCCACCCCACCCTCCAGGCCACTGGACACTTTTGCCAGGCCTCCAGCGTCTGCTGCTGGGCCCCCATCTTCTTCCTCACAGCTGGGCCCTGTAACTCAGCAGGAAGAGGGAGCTGGGGAAATGAGCGTTTTGAGCCCCTTGCGAGGCAGAGGGTCACACTTGTAAGATGGAAGATTCCTCAAATGTATGAAGGGCATTTAGATGCAAGGCAGGCAGGAAGAACGTGGCGGGTCCACTGTGGGGACGGGGGTAAGGATGGGGTGGCTCCTTTTCTTCTCTTCCAAACCTGAGGCCTCCACAGGCGGGAGAACTTAGAACAGCTCTCCCATCACCCCGGCATTCAGGAGGGAAGAGCTTAATTGGGAAAGAATTTCTCTGTTATCCTAAGGCTAGCCCCAGACCAGAGTTAGAACCAAAAATAGGGTGATTGTTCACTCTCAAGATGTTACTGAAAATAATTTAAAATACTGAACTATAAAATGAATGTAAGGAAATCCCAACAAACTTCTGATTTTTTTCCTCCCATGATCTTTCCTGTTAAAACGTTCAAATGATTTCAATAAAATCTGACTTTTTCCTCCCGTGACCCTGCCTTTTAAAAAGGTCCAATGATTTCAACAAAATGTTTTTCCTTTTTTGGGATCTGTGATGGTTCCACTTTCTTGGATGATCTGGCCCAGAGGAAGGGATGTTTATTGCTGGGCTGAGTATGTGGAGGTAAAGTGGTTCCCATGAATGATGTTGTTGGTGAGAGTAGCTGCTGTTCACCGAGCGCCTACGTTGTGCTGGCATTGGGTTGGGCATTTTTTATGTAGTGTCTCAAATCTTTTCGTTCCCACATGTAGATGAAGAAACTGAGAGATCATGTTACCAAGTATCTGAGTTGGAATTCAAAGCTCAGCGCCCTTCTATTCCTTGAAGCTTTTGAGACTGAGGGCTCTTACGTGACTTTGGGATGTCATAACTAGCACAGTGCCTGGTTGATCACAGTCAAGGACTAGGACATCCCTCCTGAAAGAATGAACATCAGAAGGGCAAACTCGAGCCTGTTCAATATCTACCAGTTACACATGTCTAAGACCATTACACACACAGACTCAATAGAGAATAAAACTTTAATAGAGCACCAGTAGTATATATATAAAACATACATAGGTAGAAAAATAAATCCAGTCAAAGTATTACAGAAAATACGACAAGTCTGTGAACTGAGGTTCCTTTTCTGATCAGTCTATTGGTATCTGGTAGAATTTTATAGCATTTCTATTTAAAAAAAACAACAACAACCTGCTCCTGGATGACAACTACCTTCATGTTTATTCCTCCTTTTAAATATGTCCATTTCTCACTATTAAAAAGGGGTCCTAATTTAGTGAGCTAAAGAGGCTGAAAATGACATTTTCAGTGGCCAATTTTTTTTTTTTTTTGAGACAGAGTTTCACTATGTTGCCTTCAGTAGAGTGCCATGGCATCACAGCTCACAGCAACCTCAAACTCTTGGGCTTAAGCAATTCTCTTGCCTTGGCCTCCCAAGTAGCTGGAACTACAGACTACTGTGCTACGGGTGCCAAGCCTCAGTGGTCAACTTTTTAAAGAAAATTGTTAAAAATAAAAAAAGAAAAGAAAATTGTTAAGACCTTTATAAAGAAGTAAGTTCCCAAGGTGGAGTGTTTTTGCCAAGTGAGCCTCTACAGTCAGCTCCTTGGTCATTTACACAAGTCTGAGGAGCAGGAGTTACAGAGGTGGGGTTGGCTTCAGCCTTGTTTGTGGCTTTGATCACCGGCTGAGGCAGCTGTGAGGAGTAGGAGTCACTGTGTCCAGCCAAGTGTGTTTCTGCCTCAGAGATGATCTCTAGGGTCCCTCCTCAGAGAGTGTCCTGAAGCTGCAGCTGTCACTCGCGTTCTGCTTGCTGCTTTCAGAGTCTTCTATAATGACACTTAGTTTGTCAAAAACCTCATTCTCATCAGACAGTGGGAAGGAGAAAAACAGAAGTGTGCTATGATGAGGGTGGCCCAAAAACTGTGGGAGAAGAACAAAGGATAGTTTACTATCAAAATTTCCCATTTCTTTTAAGTTTTTTTTTTTTTTCCCCAGAACTGGCTGGAAAAATCTATCTTAAAAATGTCACAATAACAGTATCATGGTTTCTCGAAAAATTAAAAATAGAAATATTATATTGTCTTGCAATTCCGCTCATGCATATAAACTCCAAAGATCTGAAAGCAGAGTACTGAACTGATGTTCATAGCAGCATTTTTCACGATAACCAAAAGGATGGAAGCTACTCAAGTGTCTGTCCACAGATGGAAGAAGGAGCAGAATGTGGTCTATACACACAACAATATTATCAGCCTTAAAAAGGAGGGAAATTATGACATAGACGATGACATGGATGAACTCTAAAGACATTGTGCTCAAGGAGCCAAGCCAGTCACAAAATGACACACACTGTATGACGATTGTGCTTCTATGTGGGACCCAGAATAGTTGAATTCACTGAGACAGACAGGAGAATGGTGGTTGAAAGGGGCTGAGGGGAAGGGAACGGGGAGTTACTGTTTAACACACAGAGAACTTCAGTTTTGGAAGAAGAATACAGTTCTGGAGATGCACGGTGCTGATGGCTGCACAGCCACGTGAATGTCCTCCAAGCCCCCGAATTGTACTCTGACATGGGCAAGGCATGTATGCTATGTGCATTTTCCCACAGTTAAAAAAGTATGTGACAATAAACATGCACCTCACTTTCTAGTGATCACAGGTCATCCTCTGATAGTCCTCTTCTAGACCAGAAGGGAGATTTTTTTTTTTTAACCTAAGTATGACACCGTGGGGCTGACACAGTTTGGGTGCCATTTCTTCTAGGAAGCAGGGATGTTCCAGGCCCTGGATAAGTGTGTCTCTCCCCTGCATCCTCAGGCTGAGTTAGGGGCCCTCTTTGGTGCTCCTCAGCATTCTATGTACCCCTTGATTTCAGCCCTTAGCTTTGCACGTCCTATACAGTGGCCAAGAGCCACGTGTGGCTACCCATCACATGAAATGTGGTTTGAGGCAGTATGTGCTGTCAGGGTAAAATATGTACTAGATTCCAAAGACTTTGTATGAAAAAGAGAATGGGAAATACCTCAAATATCTAAAAAAATATTGATTACATGTTGAAATGGTATTCTAGATATACTGGGTTATATAAACTGCAGGGTGGACATAAAGTTCATGTGCAATTTAAACAGTACACTAATTCATGGGACATTATATCCACCCTGTATATTATTAATGTTAATTTTGCCTCTTTCTTTTGACTTTTAAAAAATGTGACTACCAGCAAATGTGGCTTGTTTTATCAGACAGTGCTGCCTGGGTTTATCTGCTGGCCACCGACTCTTGATAGTTCGTCTCTCCCACAGACGGGGCTAGGGACGGGCAGGAACCAGAGCCCAGTCATCTTTGCCCCCCCAGAGCTTTGAACATGTAGATGCTCATCTGTGTTTGCTGAAATCCCTGCTGCTTGCTTATTCTCCATTCTTCCTCTTCCTAGGCCCACCAGTGCTCCTAATCTTCATGATTACGTGGAGAAATATTCCTTAAAGCTTTGCATTGTTAACTCTTCCCCTCCAGAGGGAACCCTTTCTGGTATAATTTCCACCCTCACCTTTTTGATATGACTTTTTTCTTTTTGAGACTCACTCTGTTGCCTGGGCTAGAGTGCTCTGGTGTCATTCTAGCTCACTGTAACCTCCAATTCCTGAGCTCAAAGGATCCTCCTGCCCTAGCCTCCCAAGTAGCTGGAACTAAAGGTACTCACCACTAACCCGGCTAATTTTTTTTTTTTTTTACACTTTTTTTAGTAGAGGTAGTCTTGCTTTGCTTAGGCTGCTCTCAAACTCCTGGTCTCAATCTTCCTGCCTCAGCCTTTCAGAGTGCTAGGATTATAGGCGTGAGCCACTGCACCTGGCCCCCTTTGATACGACATATTTGAGGCCAAAGGCAGCTGCACTACCTTCTGGTGTGGACCTGTCAGGATTTCTCCTCCTGGGTCTTGGGCAGCTGATGAAGGAGAGGAGATGGAGCAAGGGGGACAATGTCCAGAACTCTGCTGTGCCGGGGAGGAAGTGGGGAAAGGGGAACCCCTCTAAACCTCAGATCCAGTGATTCATGAGAATGGATTGGAAGCTACCCTGGTACTCTCTGGATGGGGGAGGAGAGGACACAGGAAGATGCACTGAATCTAAAGAACGTGAACAACAGCCTGAGTCTGCTGGTTGGACATACACATGTACGCACACATGCACACACACATTAACACACATGCATACATGTGCACGCAACTCAAGAGCTCAGTGTTGGAGAAACCTCCCTACTAGTTTTCCAACTCAAATTCTCCATCCCCAGCAAACCTCCCTGAATTTTGAATGATTCTGTGAGGTGTGGTTAATGGATTCTCTACATTCTGAGTCACACTGGAGAATCTGATGATGTGAGGCCCCCAAACTGCTCCACCTTCACCTGCTGCCTCACTTGCCTCTCCCCACTTCCTTCTCCACCCACCTCAATTCTAAGCTACTGCAGGGGCCGGCTTCAGTCAGCCTTGAAGGCATGTGCCCCTGCCAACAGGCCCCTTTACTGTTCACCCCATCTTCCCTTTCCTGTCTGACAAACCAGTCTCTTTGATGGCAAAGCCAGAAGTAAAACCAGCAGGTGAACAGTCTGTTTCCTCTGGGTTCTCAAAGGAGAACAAAACACCTCTGCCCAGAGCGAAGGGCCCGGCCCTCTTTGCTCTTCCTGCTGCAGCTGCGGCTTCTCAAAAGCTCAGAGAGCCTGCAGCCTTCTAATTTCAAAGTAGTTCTTTTTTAAGCACTAAAGGAGGCCGGAAAAGCTCTGTCTTCTGCTGCACCCCTTTCACATCCAGCATTTGGATCCCGGCAAGAGACTGCACTTAAGGACCCAAAAGGCGGCAGGTTCCCAGCCCCAGCGGAGATTCACAGTTCCTTCTGCTGCTGCAATCTTGCTGGCTCTGCTTCTAGAAGGTTCTAGCTGCTCTGGAACCCTTGCCTACAGTCATGTGCCCACTTTCTATTAGAGTGGATGTTGTGCTGTGCTGCCCAGGTCCCCTTCATGTCGGGGTGCTTGTTCCCCCACCTCCCAGGAATGCTGGCAGCTGAAATGGCTTGCAACTGAGTCTCTTCCTAGGAGGTCCCTTCACTTTGGGCAGGGTTCCACGTCCTTCCTGGAGGTGGCTGTATGGGCTGAGTGTTTGGAATACATCAACAGGACCAGAGGCACAAGAAGTGGCAAGGCATCGGTGAGGTGTATGGAGTGGGAAACAGCCTGTGAGACTCTGGGACCTGCCCTGTCAGTGATGTTTGAGGGGACCAGGGAGCGGGGTGTGGCAGGACATCCCCTCTAAAGGACCAGCTGTGTCTTTCCCCTCCCACCACTAAAGAGAAGGAAGCACTCTGCTTTGCGGGCCTCACTGGGCTCTGGAGGCAGCGTGCTCCCTACGAAGGAAGGCTGCTCCAAGGTGTTTGCCAAGTGCTGCAGAAGGCTGCGAGCTCTGACAGGCCCCCGAGCAGGAAAGGGCCCTGCGGAAGGCAAGCAGCCCCACCTACGCCTCAAGATGAGTGCCTTATCTACCAGTGTCAACACGCTAACAGCACAGATCTCTGAAGCGCCTGCAGTGGGAAGGGACGCTGGGTGGCATTCATCACACAGGTGCTAGTGTCCTGGGGCCAGGCTGGGCCCCCTATGCTGGATAATCAGACCCTGTTTGAAGACCAGCACCGAGAGTGCTATAGGGACTGAGGAGTAACAGAGCCAAACCCAGAGTGCTATGGGGACTGAGGATTAATAGAGCCTTTGGCCAGGATGCCAGGTGATCATGGTGCCCAGAGGTGACCACCATGAGGCCGGCCAGACCTAGCAGGTCCTAAGACAAGGCTAGAGGCTGCCTATCAGCAATACCCCCACTGCACCAGGGCCTCTGTCTCTGCTCACACCATGATCACACAGGGGGATGGGTTGTTAGGACCAGCTGAAAAAGGAGAAGGCCAGCTCCCTTTCATAGGGATGTCTGCAGAATATGTGGGTGCAAACCAAAAATGTCCCACTGCTGCGTGTCAGCCTGTGTCAGACAGGAAGTACCCTGACAGACGGAGCTTCAGGCCCTGTGGGCTGGTCATCCCCTTTGTGCAAAAACAAAAGCGGCCGAAGATCAGGCTAGCCATGGGGATCAAGGCCAGGCTGGTGGTCAGGGTCCTAGCAGAAGGAAGACTGGAAGGCCAGGGACAATGATGTGTGGGGCTGAAGCATGTGGAGGGAGCCACAGGAGTGCTGCAAGGCCACACGCATGGAAAGGGCACCAGCAAGGGGCCGGGGCCGCACAGCCATCTGGGGCACGACACGCCATTCACGCCCTGCAGGGACTGTCAGCACCACTGTTGCAGCTTTTGTTTCACTGGCAGAGGAGCCTGTTAGGGCTGAACTGTGTCACTACAAAATTCCTCTGCCTCAACCGAGGCTCACGTCTGTAATCTCAGCACTCAGGGAGGCTGAGGCAGGAGGATTGAGTTCAGGAGTTCCAGACCAGCCTGAATAAGAGTGAGACTTAGTCTTTACTTGAGTCTTAGTCTTTAACAATAAAAAAATTGGCCGGATGTTATGGTGGGTTCTGCAGTCCCAGCTACTTGGGAGGCTAAAGCAGGAAGATCTCTTGAGACCAAGAGTTTGAGGTTGCTGTGAGCTAAGATGCCATGGCACTCTACCCAGGGCAAGAGAGTGAGACTCTGTCTCAAGAAAAACAAAAACAAAACAAAACAAAACAAAAACAACCAAACAACCCCTACCAAAATTCCTTGGTTGCAGTCCTAACTCCCCCACCTCAGATTGTAACTGCATTTGGGGGTGGGGTTGTTGCAGGTCATTAAGTTAGAATGAGGCCATACTGCAGCTGGGTGGGCTCTTCAAAGGGGGACTTTAGACACAGACACACATGGGAGAGGGCTGTGGGACTAAAGCAGAGATGGAGGGGAGGCTTCTATAAGCCAAGAACAGGAGTGAGGGGAGGCTTGGCCCTTACAGCTCTAGGAGGAGCCAACCCCAGGGGCTCCTTGATCTTGGACTTCTGGCCTCCAGCACTGTGAGGCGGTACTTTTCTGCTGTTTGATAGCCAGTTTGTGGAACTTTATTATGCAAGCCCTAACAAACTAATATAGCCCTATAAAGTGTCAAGTCAGACCCAAGGCCTCAGTGATTGCAAGGGCAGACAGGAGAGGACACATGACCTTGGGACCCAACCTGTACTGCCCAAGAACTGCCAGCCCAGGAGGACGATGGAGTGGCCTGTTGACAGTGTAGGCAAAGTGCCAGCTTGGTGGTGACACCTGGTGAGGCTGGGGTGCTGTCCTCCCCAGCAGGCAGAATGCATGAGAGCAGGAAGGCCCTGTTCACTGCACTTCTGGTGACCTGCTCAGGAAAGTGGTGCCCACCTGCCACCCTGCCCAGGAGACTTTAGGTTCCATGAGTCTCCAGCAGGGATCAGTCAAGTATGGCCTAAGAGGCGAGAATGGTTTGAAGTTTTTTTCATTGAATACATTTAGATGGTTAAACAAGTACACATCATTTCGGTTTTACCTCTCGGCTGGTCTGGAGGGTTCCTAGGGTGGGTACCTTTCCACTAGGGGACATAGTATGAGGCCTGTGGCTGCCACCTCCTCATGCCAAGAGACCAGCCAGCAAGGAAAGGAAACATCACAGTGACCACCAGAGGAGGTGAGGCTGCCACTCCATGGCGGACATCCCTGAGTCCCTGGGGTGCCCCCACAGACTCCCCTGATGACTCTGATGGCAGATGGACAAGTACAGTGGCCACTGCCTGAGATGGGCCTGGTGCTCAGAGGCTCAATCCTCTCAGGGTTGGGGGCAGGGTCACCCAGTCAGGCCAGTGGCCTATGCCAGCAGAGGCCATGGAGGGCAGAGAGGGGACAGCAGAGGAAGAAGACCACAAATGTTACCTGTGGTCCTGGAACCAGCTGCAGTGGTGGGTGCTGGAGTTTATTCCCCTGATCTTCCTCTTGTTACCTTTCCTGGGAAAGAGATCAACTCAAATCCTGGAGAAGCTGCTTCCAGTGGATTCGAGGAGAACCAGGGGTGGACTGCAGTGGACTGTCCAGTGTGCCACCCATCTGTCCCTCCATTGTGAGGCACTCATCCTCCTAGCTGCCAGGACCACAGGCTGCTGATGTCTCATAACACACCCTAGGTTAGGCCCCCTTCTTGGGGTACCCACATCCAGTGCATGGCCATGTCGGGTTCACAGGCCCACCCCTCTTGCTCTAACTTGGGACATTTCTAAAGGGCCACTCCATCTCACAAGCCCCCATAGGATTGCCTGAGGCTGTTCTCTCTGTCTTATCCTGCTACCTTCACTCCCTTAGAGGGATTATTCCCGAAGGTATTACTACCCGTTAATGATTAATTGATTGATTGACACAGAGTCTCACTCTGTTGCCCTGGGTAGAGTGCTATGGCATCATACCTTACAGCAACCTCAAACTCTTGGGCTCAAGTGATCCTCTTGCCTCAGCCTTCCAACCATCTGGGACTACAGGCATCCACCACTATGCCCAGTTAGGATTTTTATTTTTAGTAGAGTTAGGGTCTCATTCTCACTCAGGTTGGTTTTGAACTACTGAGCTCAAGCACTTACTTCAGCATCCCAGAGTACTAAGGTATGAGCCACTGCACCCCCTTTAAGCCTTTAAACATTTTTTTTTAAAGATTAAAACAGTTTTTTTAAAGAGATGGGATCTCACTATGTTGCCCGGGCTGGCCTCAAACTCCCTAGCTCCAGTGATCCTCCCATCTCCTCCTTCCAAGTAGCTGGGACCACAAGTACATGTCACTGTGGCTGGATCCCATTAAGCCCTTTGAATCCAAATCTCCAACCCAGAGTCTATTTCTTGGGAAATGAGATCACAGATAGGTCTTTTGGGGGTCTGGGTGTGGCATATTTTCAAGTGTCAGTGTGTAACAATCTTCAGTCCTGTCATCATCAGCCAGGTTCATCCTTTCTTTTCCCCAAACCTTTAAAAAATAGCCATTCTGAAGTGTAGGAAACATATCTCGGAATTTCAGTCACTCTCAGATACTCTAAAACGGAAAATATACCTCCCTGTCTTCCCATTCCCTTTCTCTATTTGTTGGCACTTAGACTAGAGTTTTCGCTTTCTTTTCTCTACCCTAACCTCTGCTTTTCCCCCTCCTGCCCCAGAACCATCACGTGACTTCATTCCCCCAAGGATGTGCCTGGGCTCTGGGCAGTGAAGGCGGAGGACAGGCAGTGTCCAGGCTGCAGGGAGGTCCTCTGCTCCAGACCTTTGCGTCTTTCCTTAAGGAACAGCAGTTCCTTGACCCTGGGCTGTCATCATTTCCCAAATGGTTTCAGGGGAACAGACCCACACACAAGACGGCTGTCATTCTCCCAGACAATGTGTTGTCCACAATTAGGAGGCCCTAATTTGAAACAACAAAACTTTTTCTAATGAAAGTTTTGGAACCCACACCTCACTCCATCCTACTCACCTCTTTCAGATGCTGCGGGAGGGAGTTCCCAGGGGAGAAGGCATACTTTGTCTTCTTGTAAATGCACCACAGCAGAGCAAAACAGCCCAGGAGCAGCAGGACGGCCACAAAGACACACCCAACGAGGACCAAGGCGACTATCCAGGAGGGGACCGTCTCTGCCAGGGACAACAGTGTGTGTTATACTCTTAGCCAAGGTGGGGTCACAGTGATCTCGAGGCCATTTTGACCACCACAGTTCAATGGCAATCCCTGAGAACAGGGCCCAGGCGTTCATCTTGGAAGACGTCTCAGAAACACCGCAGCTGGCTGGAGGGCCAGTGGTTCTCAAGAGTTTCACCCTTTTCCATCTTCCTCAAAGTCCAGTTTCTGGCATTATTACTGATATCCATAAGAGGGATAAGCAAGAATTCTGCTTCCCTTTCTCCACTTGCAGGGTGGCAATGAGCCTTCCTGTTCTGGATACACCTCTTCTTCCCTGAAGCAGCAAATGGACTCCTCCCTGCCTGAGCCTGAGTTAACCCAGGCTGCAACGTGTTTCATACTGAGAACTGCATGCCAGCACGAGAGACTCTGTCAAAACCCCTGGAGCTCCAGCATAGCTTCCAGCAGCTGGAGGCCACAGCCCAGGAATGACACAGCCTCCTTGAGTTCCTATCTAGAAAAACTCAAGGCTGTCTAAAGAACTTAACCATTCATTCTCTCCAACACCTGATGATAGGCCCCAACCTCTCTTTCTAAGAGCATTTTCTAGAAAGAGCTTACAACTGTGACTCCTTCTTCGGTTTTTCTCAGACATACACGTGTCCCCTAAAACTCAGGAGTGTCTTTCTCAAGGACCTGGGAACCATTCCTTTAAAGTTATCAGGAAGGACAGGGCCTGCATGGGGGGAGAAGCCCAACCTTGATAAATGTCTTTGCAGACACAGGTGGCCTAAAGACCAACCTCCTCTCTGATTTTTGTAATTTTCTCACTCCCCTGACTCTCCTTGCATCCCTGCTTGTGCCCCTCACCCTGGGTCCTTGCTCCCCTTGGCACTAGGACCCTTCTCCTGGGGGTCCCCTGGCCACCTAACCTCCCTGTGCCCAACCAGCACCACCCTCCCGAGCAAAGCCCGTGCCTTTGAAACTGAGGGGGCTGAGAGAACAACCCTACCCATTAGCAGCAAGTCAGTTTCTGTGCACGGAAATAACCGGTGTCCAGACCAGTTGACAACTCCCTCTCCCTCTCTTCCTCCCCTCCCTCTGCCTGCCTCTTTTAGGAAACACCAAGTGCGCTGGCACCTGCTAGACACCACAGTCCATGCTGTATGTGAAGAACTGTGTTAGGCCCTGGTATTTTTATTTTACAAAGAGCTCTGAAACAAATGGCACCTGCTGAGACCACTGGCAAGGTTTCCAGGCTCTCCCAATCATGTGTCTGCTGGAGGAAAGACTTTGGGGCAGAGGGGCAGCAGGGTGCAAGCCCCGCTGGGTGGTCTCAGGAGGACCTATGAGACTCACCCCAGGCAGCCTGAAAGGGCAGAATGGCATAGTGAGGGCAGCTCATAGTTCATGGACTCAGACCTTAGTTGGCCAGACAGAAAAGGTTTCCATCAATTTCTTTGATTTAAGTGTTCTGGGCTGCCTCAGAAGGGGATGTCACCCTTCCTAGCATGAAGTCCATCAGCCAGGGCTGGGGGAGACTCCAACAGCTTGATACATATATCCAAGCTGGGTTGGAGCCTGGCCCAGATGCAATGGTTCCTAAGAAGCCATCCGGCCCTGAAGTCTGTGAAGCTGCTGACAGCACCCAGAGTCCGAGGCTACACATCTCATGACTCACCGTCATTAGTTGTTTGCTCACAGACAGGGTCACTCCACTGGCCGGTTTTGTTGCGATCAGGAAGAAACCCTTGAACTTGAACACAATAAGTTGTCCATGGTTCTAGGTTTCTGAGGACCTCAAAGTCATACTGAAGAGTGATCTGGAACTAGTGATGGAGACAAAAACAAGAACATGACTCAGCTGTGTAAGGTCACCACCTTTTTTTTTTCACACAAGTTATAATCTCTGCTTCAGATTTAAAGTAAGAAGGAGCAGGTAGCAGGTGTCCCTCCCAGGTCACTTCAGGAGACTGTGACACTCTTCCAAGGAGTGTGGCAAGAACTGACTGTGATGCTGACAAAGTCTCCTGTTTCCCAAATTCTTTAGCTTAAATGACACACAAACCATTTGGCTTCTTATTTTATTTTTTTGCCCTCGGTAGAGTGCTGTAGCATTACAGCTCACAGCAACCTCAAATTCTTAGGCTTAAGCGATTCTCTTGCCTCAGCCTCCCAAGTAGCTGGGACTACAGGTACCTACCACAATGCCTGACTATTTTTTGCTGTAGTTGTTATTGCTTTTAGCAGGCCCAGGCCAGGTTTGAACCTGCCTGCCTCAGTATATGTGGCTGGCACCCTAACCACTGAGCTATGGGTGCCAATCTGCTTCTTCTTTTTTTTTTTTTTCTAGAGACAGTCTCACTTTGTCACCCTCAGTAGAGTGCTGTGGCATCACAGCTCACAGCAACCTCCAGTCTTGGGCTTAGGCAATTCTCTTGCCTCAGCCTCCCTAGTAGCTGGGACTACAGGTGCCTGCCACAATGCCCGTCTATTTTTGTTGCAGTTTGGCCCGGGCTGAACCTTCCACCCTTGGTATATGGGGCCGGCGCCCTACTCCCTGAGCCACAGCTGCTGCCCTTCTTCTTCTTCTTCTTTTTTTTTTTAAAGATAAATCAGTTTTCATGGGTTGAACTATTTTCCACAAAAATTCTTATGTTGGAGCCCTAACCCTCCTGTGAATGTGAACTTATTTGGAGAGCGGATCTTTACAGAAGTCATCAAGTTCAAAGGAGGTTATTATGATGGGGGAGGAGGAATGCCATGTGAAGATGAAGGCAGATTGGGGTAATGTTTTTACAAGCCAAAGAATGCCAAAGATGGTCAGCAACTACTGGAAGGAAGGGAAGGCCCAGGACAAATTCCTTCCTGTCACTTTTAGAAGGACCATGGCTCTGTGGACACCTTGATCGTAGACTTTCAGTCTCCAAAACTGTTAGACAAAAAATTTCTATTGCTTAAGCCCCCTAATCTGTGCTACTTTGTTACAGCGTCCCTGGCATACGAGTATGCCACTCTATGCAGTAAGAGTCAATGTGGTTTTCTTTCTAAGTTGGGAGCACATTTTGATCTCTGGCTGCCTGGGGTTCTCCCGACTCACTTCTCTACTTGTGCACCTGTGTCGCCTCTCCCAGATGCCCGAGCTCATTTTGGGGGCACACACCACAGCCTGCCTCTGCTCTGGGGGCTGGCAGCACTGACTCATCTTAGTTTAATTTGCCTGTAAGATACCATAATTAATGATATATTTCTGAATTTGAGAAGCCAAAATAGTTCTTGGCAAAATAAAGGGAATGAGTAAGCCTACAAAGTGAGCACAATGGTTATTTTTCTTTGGGGTAGGGCTGTTGACAGCTTTTCTATGTCCCTTCATGGTGTGAGAAGCTAAGTGCATAGAAGTCAATAATGGGATTAGATCTAGTGAATATAAGAAGAGTATAGTATAACCTCCAAATTAAAAAATCAAAACCAAACCAATCCAAAAAAAGCCCACCCTGGCTTTCATTTCTAGAAGTCTATAATGCCTCCAAAACCTTATCATCATTTTTTTCAAAGATTAAACACAGAGGCCAACCCATCAGCAGCAAGTAGGCAGAGTGGGGCGCAGCTGGGAAGGGACCCCCTCACCTCATCTGGGACTTCTTCACTTCTGGGCAACTCCTGGTTTTATCTTTTCACTTTCTCCCAACAAGAAGGAAGAACTTCCAAAAGCCCTTCATGCCATGCATTTAGGGACCTAATCTGGCACCGTCTCGGGAACATCTGTGTTCTAGAAGGGAGCCATGCGGCCTTTCTGAAGGCTGCCACACAACTGGGCGGAAGTGAGAGGGCCTATGTGTCAGGAGATGCCTGTGCTGTGGGCGTAGTCTAGATAAGAAGCTAAATATAAAACAGGGTATGCATTTCCACCTGGGCAGGAGGCACTCAGCCATGGTAACCACAGAACTGGATTTTTTTTTAGACAAGGTCTTGCTCTGTTGCTCAGGCTAGAGTGCAATGGTGTCATTATAACTCCCTGTAGCCTCACTCAAGTCATCCTCCCAAGGAGCTGCGACTATAGGTGCCTGCCATTTGCCTAGCTATCTTTTTTCATTTTTGCACAGATAGAGTCTCACTATGTTTCCTATGCTGGTTTCAAACTCCTGGTCTCAAAGGATCCTCCTGCCTTGGCCTCCTAAAGAGTGGGGATTACAGGTCTGAGCTACCAGGGATAGATCTTTATTTGGAGCCTGCTACTAACCCTGGAGAGGAGTAATCTGCTCTTGTCTTTATACCCCAGGGCTTAGCAGAAATACCTGCATTTAATAAGTTTAAAATGTTGAAACTTAATAGTCAGTGTGATAGTATGTGTATTGGGGGGGGGGGGCTTTCGGTCCTTAAGGGGCCTGGTGACCTTATAAAAGCAGGATGAAGGAGCCTTTTGCCTTTCGCCCTTGGCTTTCCACTGTCTTGGAAGCAGAGGGAGCCAGCGGTCACTGGATGCTGAATCTGCTGGCACTTGATCTTGGACTTCTCAGCCTATAGAACTACGAGAAATAAATTCCTATTGTTTACAAATTATCCAGTCTATGGTATTTCATTATAGCAGCCGGACATTGAGTTATTTAATGAAGCATTTTTTGGGGAAAAAATTAACTTGTGTTTTAGGCTACACAGTGATCTCTATCAATTTGATTACATCATTCCTGAGACAATAAACATGTGTGATCCCCTCATCCCAAACTCACTGAGGATTCAGTGATAAGATCAACACTTAATGTGGAAGAGCTAACAAGTAATATAACTTACATAACATATATATAAGTCAGTTGAAGCCCACGAATGGCACTCAGCTCAGAAGCACTAAGTATAAGAATAAAACTTGACCAAGGATGCATGAAAACTGCTGTAACATGTCTATAAAAGGAAGGAAACCTCATAAATTGACCATATACACATTCCAGGCAATGGGGCAAGTTTATACTTTTTATTATGTTATTAAATTAATACCCCAACAAGCCTATAAAGTAGGTGTTTATCCATATTTTATTATACCCCTTTTGCAGACTCGAGGAAGCTGAGGTCAAGAACATGACCAGAACCACATAAGTGGCAGGGGCAATATTTTAATCAAGTCTTTGACTCCAAGCCCATGTTTTTAAAGGACTTGTCCCTCAAAGAAGAGAGCAACAGAGAAAATGAGGTCAGAAAGGTAAAATGTGACACTGTCCACCCAGCGCCCTGGGGTAGAGAAGCCTCAGCTATGGACGTGGGTGATCTATGGTAAGCGCCGGGTGTAGGGTGGATGCCATGAGGCAGCATATAGTTTTCAGCTAAATGCTGATCACCCAATTCAGCTGACTCCAAGTTCCTGCAGAAACTCTGACTCAGCTCTGTCTTCTCCTGCAATTTCCCTTTAGGGAGGGAAAAATCTGTTCTCACTGCCAGACTTTACCCTGAAAGTCTGCTGTATGCATTTATTTCTCTGGGGGTCCAGAAAGCTTGACCCAGAGGTACCAGTCATCCTTAGTCTGGAAGCCTCTGGCTCTCAGAGGATCAGTCCTTGGACTGTGAGGTGTTGACACCTGGTAGGACCCTGCCTGGAGGTCCTCCTGGCCTTCTCCATTAACATGGCCTCAGATCGGAACTTCAGCAATCTTCGGTTTACTTACACCTGAAATGTGATTAGCCAAACTCACCTTTTCATCAGTACCATTTTTCCAGTATTGCACATTGTAAACCCATGAGTCATAAATATTCTTCATGGTCCATGTTTCAGGCTCGTTCTCAATTGGGGGGGCTGAGAAACGCACATATAAAAAATCAGCATGCACTTCTACTTGTATTCCAGGAGGCCCAATGACAGCTAAGTAGGAGAACAGAGCAAAATCACAATCACATTTTAAAAACTTCATTTCACCACTGATTTTTCATAGCTATGCAGAACAATTACTCCACTGAAGGACACTGCTCTCTGATATACCATTGCTACAACATTGATGGATGTGGCTATGGAGAATAGTTGCATTTTGTTTCTTTGAAAAAAAAAATCTGTTAACCTTTGTTTCATTAATCAATATTCATTTTGTTTATTGTGATTTCTTATATATTTAAAATTTGGGGCTCAGCACTCATAGCTCAGTGAGTATGGCGCCAGCCACATACACCGAAGTTGGCGGGTTCGAGCCCGGCCTGGGCCTGCTAAACAACAATGACAACTACAACAAAAAATAGCCAGGCATTGTGGTGGGTGCCTGTAGTCCCAGCTACTTGAAAGGCTGAGGCAAGAGAATTGCTTAAGCCCAAGAGTGGGACATTAGTTTGAGCTGTGACGCCACTGCACTCTACCGAGGGCGACGTAGTGAGACTCTGTCTCAAAAAAAAAAAAAAAAAAAAAAAATTGGATTACATTACTTTGTGTTTTCTGAAAAAAAATATTTTCTTTTTCTTTCTTTTTTGATACAGAGTCTTACTTTGTCACCCTTGGTAGAGTGCCACGGCATCATGGCTCACAGCAACCTCAAACTCTTGGGCTCAATAGATTGTCTTGCCTCAGCCTCCCCAGTAGCTGGGACTATAGACATCTGCCACAATGCCTGGCTACTTTTTTAGAGACAGGGTCTCACTCTTGCTCAGGCCAGTCACTTAACTCTTGGGCTCCAGGGGTCCTCCCACCTCTCAGCCTCTCGGAGTTCTGGGATTAAAAGCATGAGTCACTGTGTCCAAAGCAAATTTTGTATTTTATATATGTACATCTCATGACCTCTGGCAGGTCCCCATGACATTCCAGGTCTAACCTGGGAACATTCTTCTTCTTCTTTTTTTTTAATTTCTTATAGCATAACTGTGTACATGAATGCAATCATGGGGTACAGTGTGCTGTTTTCACATACATTTTGAAATACTCTCATCAAACTGGTTAACATAACCTTCATGTCATTTTCTTAGTTATTGAGTTAAAACGTTCATACTCTGCTTTTAGAAAGATTCACTTGTACCCTTGTAAGATAAACCATAGAGGTGACCCCACCGATCACCCTCCCTCTACCCATCCATCCCCCTCACCTCCCCCCCACTCCCTTCCCATATTCTAAAGCTATAATTGGAACATTCTTCTTAATGCCTACCAGCCACTCTGACCCAACCTATCTGCCACCAGCTGTCTCCCTCCCTTCTGTCCTTTGTTCTGGGGTGAGCTGTCTGTCTGCATCGGTCTTTCTATCTCCACACCTGCCTTTACTCCTTTGCCTATTGCATTACACTTCTTAATGTCATAATTCCAAATTGACCTGCTCTCAGAAAATTTCCCACATGAATCTCTCCAGTTCTTCTCATTAACAGTGCTGGCTGCTCTAGCTCATTCATTCTTCAAGGCACTGAAGCTGTTACATTTACATTTAATTACTGTGTGGATGATACTATGCTTATCTTTTCTGTCTCTCCCAAGGACTTCTGTAAGGCCACAGCCCTCTCTATTATATTCACTAAGCTGCTGGACAAGGCCATCTGCTTGTGGGCACTCAGAGCCTGCTTATTGATGGACCAACCAATGTGCAAAACGCCAAAGCAAAAGGACAACATGACAAAATGGGAAAAGGGAAGCAGAATGGCTTACTGTCATCCACAGGACAGAAGGTGATGTTTACCCAGTCTGAATGCTCATCTGCAAATTCAGCTCTGACTCTCAAGGTGTGGTCCCCATACTTGGAAAGACTTGAGAAATCACATTCCGTCGAGGCAGCTCTTGTGCATACATCTTGGAATATCCTATAACTACACAATCAGAGAGAAAAACAAATCCTAAGACTTCGGATTTATTCCCATTTCCCTGAGGTTGACTGGTGCTTGCTTTATTCCACCTGTTGCTGATGACTAACATAAAATAATGAAAAAAAAAAAAGCCAATTCTGTTTTTAAAATTTCATCTTACTGTGAGGGTACAAATGATGAGATTAGAATGTTTGTGCTTGTTAGGTGAGTTCCCTGCTGTAGTTGGGTCCTGAACCCAGGAGATAGACCGTGTATCTTTACATTGTGCCCAGTAGGTGGGAACACACCGGTCCCCCTCTGTCCTCCTTTTTCTTCCCCCTCTCCTGCCTCCTCCCCCCAACTTGAATTAGATTGAGTTTTTCTCTTGGGTGAGCCTGTATTAGTTTGTCTACTGACTTCATGTTAGTATTGAGTACATTGGTTACCTGTAAAGCAAATTTTTAATACTCAATTTTGATGAATAGCACACATAATCTATATTAGCATTTTCCAAACTGTACTGCCTGGAAACTTACTGATCCTTGAGATATCATAAGGCAGTTTGAAAATAATATATCCCCTGGTTAAATAATTTGAGAAAAAACCAGGTTAAATATAAAAATAGGTGTCTTTAAAAAAGAACTTCTCACAGACTTCAACATAACTCCTTGTGGCCTTGAACTCCTGGGCTCACGTAATCCTTCCTCCTCAGCTCCCAAGCAGCTAGGACTACGGGCACGTGCCACCATGCCTGGATAATTTAAACATTGATTTTCTTTTCTTTTCTCTCTCTCTCTTTTTGAGATGGGGTTTTGCTATGTTACTGAGTCTGATCTTGAGCTCTTAGTCTTAAGCAATCCTCCTGCCTCAGCCTCCTGAGTGGCTGGGATTACAGGCATGAGCTACCATGTCCAGTTGGCTTCCAAGCTTTAAAGCATAGGCTGGCTCTCTTGTCAGGGGCTAATGCAACTGGTCAGTTTAAGTTGAAGCCAACTGTTACTGACCATTCTGAAAATCCTGGGGCTTTTAAGAATTATGCTAAATCTATTCTGTCTGTATTCTATAAATAGAACAACAAAGTCTGCATGACAGGATATCTGTTACCATATGGTTTACTATTTAAGCTAACTATTGGGACCTACTGCTCAGGAAAAAAGATTCCTTTCCAACTATGACTACTCATTGACAATGCAGCTGGTCACCCAAGAGTTCTGAGGGAGGTATATAGGACATTAATGTTACTATGCCCGCCAACATAACATCTGCTCTGCAGCCCATGAACCAAGCAGTAGTTTCTATTTTCAAGCCTTATTATTTAAGAAATATATTTTGTAAGGTTACAGCTTCCCTGGATGTCGATTCCTCTGATAGACCTGGGTGGCCACTTGAAAACCTTCTGGAAAGGATTCGCCATTCTAGATGCCATTAAGAACATTTGTGTTTCATTCAAGGAGGCCAAAATATTAACATGAACAGAAATTTGGAAGAAGTTGATTCCAACCAACACAGATGACTTTGAGTTGTTCAAGACTTGAGTGGAGAAAGCCATGATAATGTGGTGGGAATAGAGAGAGAACAAGAATTAGAAGTGGAGCCTGAAGATACGTGGATGACTGCACTGCTGTAATCTCGTCTAAAACTTCAGTGGAGGAGGAGTTTTTTTTTTTTTTTTAATGGAGGAGCAAAGAAAGTGATTTCCGGAGATGGAATTTACCTCTGGTGAAGATGCTGTGAACATTATTGAAATGACAACAGAGGATTTGGAATATTACATACATTTAGTTGACAGAGCAGTGGCAGATTTTGAGAGGACTGATTTCAACTTTGAAAGATGTTCTACTGTAGGTAAAATGTTATCCAACAGCATTGCATGCAGCAGAGAAATCTTTCATGAACACAAAGTGTCGCCGATGTGGTAAACTCCACTGTTGCTTTATTTTAAGAAATTTCCGGCTCGGCGCCTGTGGCTCAAGTGGCTAAGGCGCCAGCCACATACACCTAAGGTGGTGGGTTCGAATCCCCAGCCTGGGCCCGCCAAACAACAATGATGGCTGCAACCAAAAAATGGCCAGGCGTTGTGGCGGGCGCCTGTGGTCCCAGCTACTTGGGAGGCTGAGGCAGGAGACTCGCTTGAGCCCAGGAGTTGGAGGTTGCTGTGAGCGTGATGCCATGGCACTCTACTCAGGGGGATAGCTTGAGGCTCTGTCTCAAAAAAAAAAGAAATTTCCCTAGGTACCCCAACCTGCAGCAGCCAGCAGCCATCAGAGCTGAGGCAAGACCCTCTACCAGCAAAAGACTGCAACTTGCTGAAGGCTCAGATGACTATGAGCATTTTTAAACAATAAATTATTTTAAAATTAGGGTATCTATTAATATGTATGTATTGTAGACAATGTTATTGCAGACTTAATAGACTATACAATATGGTAAACATAATTTTTATATGTACTTGGAAACCAAAAAAATTCATGTGGCTTGCTTTACTGCAATATTTACTTTACTGCACTGGTCTGGAACCCAACCTGTGACATCTCCAAGGTATGCCTATACACGAATACCATTGCATGACAACTGCCTACAGTGTCCAATACGGTAACAAGCTGTATAATACATCCCCTGAAGTGCCCCCATTCCTGCCCACCCTTCCCCCAGTGTATTCATATAACAGAGTTTGTGCTATGCAATTGCTCAGGCTAAATTCTAAACAAAACTTTTATGGAGCCACATAAGAACTAATCAGATCTTTTGTGATCAAAGTCTTCCCCGACAACATTCCTGGCATATGTTTTAATTTCTCCAGCACGTGCCATGCTCAGTCTATGGTTCCCTGTGAAGGAAACCTGGAACCCAGGTGTAGACTCTTGGTTAATAATCACCTCCTGCCCTTCCACCTTCATGAAGTCACTGAAGAAAGGCACAGAACACATACACATACACACACACACAATTCAGGGGATATAGAAAAAGAGAGAAGTTAATTTTCCAGTGAAATTTCCATGGCCATCCAAACCGAGCAAGAAAACACAGAAATGCAATGATAAAACCAGTCAGTACTAAACAATGCACCTCAAGTAAAAAATAAATTGTAGAATGACCTGTTTTTGGAAGACAGAGTCTCACTCTGTGGCCCTAGGTAGAGTGTCATGGTATTATATCATCATAGCTTGCAGCAACCTCAAACTCTTGGCCTCAGATGATCCTTCTGCCTCAGCCTCCTGAGTAGTTGGGACTACAGGTGCCTACCATGATACCCTGCTATATTTTCTATTTTTAGTAGAGATGGGGTCTCGTTCTTGCTCAGGCTGGTCTCAAACTCCTGAGCTCCAGCAATCCTCCTGTCTTGGCTTCCCAGAGTGCTGGGGTTACAGGCATGAGCCACCATACCTGGCCAGAATGACTCTTCTTAAATTCATGGTACAACTGACAAAACTGGACCATGGCCTATAGATTAGATAAAACGAATTGTATCAACACCAAAGTTCCGTTTTAACTGTGCCATGTGACGTGAAAGACTGTCCTTGTTCTTACATAATCCATACTGAAATATTAAGGAGCAAAGGACATGATGTATGAGAGAGAAGGAGGGGGAAGGAGAGAGGCAAACGTTAAAATTTGGTTAATTTGGTTGTAGGCTACCTGGAAATCCTTTGTATCCTACGCGAAATTTTAACATTTTGGTTAGTTTGAAATTACTTTGAACTAAAAAGTAAAAAACCCAACAATAGACAAGGACTATCTTATTCATTTTTCTCTACTTCACTGATTTAACAAACCTTGAAGATTTTTGTAAACTGTCAGCCAGGTGGGTGAGAGTGTGGGATTAAGAGGATTTGAGGCCAAATTTCCTTCCACCTCTCTGGAGGGTTTATTGATCTGCATATGTTTCTGAGTCACATGAAAAGCAAGTATGTTTGCTCATCAGTCTTTGGCCTCCTGTTGCTGTTGGTACCTGGTGTAAATTTGTGTCACCTGCAGGCCAGCACGTGGCATATGGGGGCAGGCTGCCAAGGGAGCACCTTGGCACAGGGAAATACTGACAGGCAGGAGAGGCAGAGGGAGCTCAGACCACCGTTGAGATGATCAGTTAGGGCAATGGTTCCCAACCTTCCTAATGCTGTGATCCTTTAATACAGTGCCTCATGCTGTGGTGACCCCCAACCATTAAATTATTTTCTTTGCTACTTCATAACTGTAATTTTGCTGAATCATAATGTAAGTATCTGATGTGCAGGATGTATTTAGGCGAGCCCTGTGAAAGAACCGCTGAGTTAGGGTGACATCTTTCCTTCACAGAGCCTGGCGTTGTCAGAGAATGGAGTTTTTGACAGCCAGTCGTGTCTTACTTTCAATTTCAGGAGGCAGCCGCAGAGTCACTGAGCACTTACTATGCGAATTATGTGCACCCCACCCCACTGGGGTGTACTATTATAATCCATGAGAAGTGGACAGGAGGAACATGGTAGCAAGGGCTCCCACACTGCTTTCTATACTATAGTTTCTTGGACAGCTTCCATGCATACATCCTTGACTTGTAGCAATCTTCTGCTCTGATCTGGAGATGACAGCAGTAGGATTTCTGTTAAATATGTCAATTGTGACACACTGACTAGGTTCTACATAGCAAGAGGCTACCCCTGGCTGATTGCATGTTATATATGCACCATCACATCAAGAACACCTGAAAAGGAAAAGGAGACTGCAAGAATTTTCCAGACAGAAGAAGGCCAGCAGGGAGGCTTCCCGGAGGGCTATCATGGTCACATGGGACAGCATTCAGACCTTCTTCCTCTTCCTGTGGCCCAGCCCAAGGCCACCTCCTCTCGAGCCTTCCTACCAAAGGCAAGGCCAGACTCACCTTTGATACTGAGCTGTGAAAGTCAGATTCCCTTTGGGAAAAGCAGGTGACTTCCACTGTAGAATGTTCTTGAAATTAACTGAATTCATTCTGACATTTTCAGGAGGTGGCACCATTCCCAAGGCTGTAAACATAAAGTAATAAATATTACAACTTTTTCCTCAAAAAGGTAGTCCATGAAAATGACTATAACCAACATTTGGTTCTCCCCATACCACCTGGTTGAGGGAGGGACAGAGGGAGAGGGGGAAGTTAGCTGTGTTGAGAAGTCTGAATTTTATTTGAAGAGCTGTGAGAAGACATTTGGAAGGAGTGAGGTGGGGACAGATGAAGGGGTGTGGATTTAGGTGACAGTAGAAAGGTATGAGGGTAGGGTGCAGTAGAGACATTTTTGATATAAGGTAAAACCTCTGTAGGTTGACACACCCAAGGGACTGTAACAAACTGGTCAACATAAGGAGGTGGTAACGATTAGGAACTAGGCCTACTGTACTGATCCGCACATGTGGTGCATGTCCAGTCAACCTACAGATGTGGTCCATGTAGGGAGGTGGTCAACTATGGAGGTTCTACTGTATTGCCAGAAGTATCAACTCTAGACTTCCTGACACATTTGATGTAGAAAAGTCAGGATTAATGTCCATGTGTGGCTTATGAACCAGTGGCCTGACTGGAACTGGGACAGGTTATATTAGGGTGGAGATGATGGACAGAATCGAGCAGGAATGCCAGTGCCACAGCTGGAAGAGGTCTCACAGAAGTCAGATCGAGGCTGGAGACAGAAATGTTTTATAATAAACAATTCGAAATGTACACAGAAGTAGAGAGAAACGTACACCTATCACCCAACTAGGGGCAATGGGATTGGAGAGTTACGGCCTGCGTTTCCTGCCAGGGTTCTGCTGAAATCCCCCCAAAGAACTGACTGTCTAGACTTGGGCACGACCTCAGCCACTCGGAGACGTGGAGAGGAGGAGGACCCCAAGTAGAAACAGCCTGCGAGGTAGGAGGGAAAACAGCCCGTGTTCCCGGAAGGGCAGGGCAGGGCAGAGGTCTTCAGAAAGGAAGGAGGGGCCACCGTGATGCCCGCACCTCAGCAATTGGAGGACAGGAACGGTTTCACTGGATTTAGAACTTAGAAACCATAGACCGGGGCCGCTGACGGGAAAATTTAGATTTCAGGGTGCTGAGGCCTAAACGCGCAGGTGTGGGAAAGTGGAGTCTCCCCGTCGGGTTTACGGTCCAGAAGGTCTGGAACCGGGAGCGGGCTGGGTGCCGGTACCCAGTGTTCGCAGCCGATATTGCGTTTGAATCTCCTGCCCAGATGCCCTGGCAGCCCGATCTGGGACTTGGCCACTTTCCAGGCGTCCAGGGGGGCGATCAGGTTTCCCACGCGCGTCCCTCCCCGCGGGCGCCCGTCCCCGCAGCCCCTCACCTGACACCAGCAGGCAGCCACCCAGCCACCTCGCCAGGTTCCGCGCCATGGCTTCCGGGAGCCGGGGGCGGGGCGGCCGGACCCCGCCTCCTCCCGGCCCGGCCGGTGTCCCCGCCCCGCGCCCTGGGTGTCCGGGTTCCCCACTCAAGTTTCCCCAGCGCACCCGGCATCTCCTGCAGTCCTGGGCGCGAGGCCGGTGCCAGGCCAGGTGACCAGGAGGACAACGGGCCTCAAGTTCAATAAGCACATTAAAATACCACTCTAGGGGGGAGACCTGGATGATGGAGTCATGGACGGCGGCAGTTTTTCCTAATATCGCTCGGCAGGCCCCAGGTTTTCTCCTGCTAACCTGCATGCCTTCTCGATTTCCTCTCCGCGCTCAGGGTACCTAAAAGCACCCCACCAGCAAACCCGGTTTGAGTGGGTCTTGTTTGCCCTTCCCCAGGGACAGATAAACACAGAACTAGGTCGTGCATTTTGCAATATCTAGTTTCACCAGACTGCTGAGAAAGCGTTAAATTCCTCTTTTTAAGCTTGATCAGTGGTGAGTTTGGAAAATCCGGTCCGATCAGTGGTGAATGTGGAAAATCCGTATTGTGTAATGCATGGCACCTTCTGGGGTCTCCCACAGGTCAGAGTGCCCCCGCTAGCCAGGGCGCAGGCTGAGGGGGTGGGTAAACCCCTAGATACCAGCACAAGCACCCACCTAATGGTGGGTGCACTGGCCAATGAGACACAACTCTGAAGACCACGCCAAGTTTGTATTAAAAAGTACTGTTATATTACCGTTTACTAACTTCCATTATACAAAATTATACAAAATTAAAAAAAAATGCACACAGACACACAGCCATAAAAACACTATACCAAAAGATCAATCTAGAAATCTTTCAGAGTAAAACAGATGCATTCAGAGGGCAGAGAAATGGATTGCAAATATGGCGAGGTCTGTTTCCTGTAGGATTCCAGGTCATGAAATAAGTGCTTCCCTCCTCACAGTCCTCCAATTACACGGATAATCTGTTTTAAGTCCTTGAACTAGGACCCGTATACTTTTTGTTCCCCCCCTTTTAATTTCAGATTAATATGAGGATACAAACAATTAGGTTACAGTGTTTGCTGGTTTGTCCTCTTGAATGGGCCTAGGAGAAAGGCCTGAGAGGGTGAGGGGAGTGAGGCTCATCCTAGGAGCCTCCCAGGGTCACAACACTGACACCTGAGTCTTTATTCCTGTGCATTTTTAAATCTTGCTTCTAAAGTCTTAGGATCTTGGAGATTACCTCTTACTCCACAGACGAAAAAAACGGAGGCTCAGAAGGCTAAGCAAATGCCCAGGATCACACAGTGAAACTTTGGCAGTTGGATCTGAGTCCCAGCCCTTGTACTGTTTGCTATGTGACTTTCCAGAACCTCACTTTTTTTTTCTCATATTCACAGGAACTGTAATCACATAAAGGACATTTGGAATCAGCACATGAAGCACTTTTAAAGTGCTTTAGGATGTCAGGGACTTACATGCCATATTTCTTCTGAAGACCATGAAGCACTTCTGCTTTCGGGCTTTTTTTTTTCTTTTGTCTTAAAATATGGCACTGAAATGTCATCCCTCTTCCCCTTCAATGTTTCCTCTCTCTGGTAGTTAGCTGCCTGGCGTCTGTTGGGGGAGGACTCCAACACACATCGGGGAGGGCTGGACAGGGTAGAATTCTCAGGGTGGGGGAGACAGAATATGACATGGGTGAGGTGCCCTGCAACCTCGCTGGTCCTTCCCTTCCATTCTCTCCAGCCACCTTCCTCACCTCCAGCCTCTTTTCCTGCCCACTCTGCAGCTCTTGAACCAGCTGGGCTCAGGGGCTCTGCTTGCTAAACACTGATGACTGCTGCTGTCAGGAACTCTGCTGAGTGTTTTCCTTTTCTCTCCCACTCCCACCCAGGCCCAATTTATTTCCCAGAAATATCACAGGGCCCTGAACCACCCCTGAAAACCACAGGGGTGCTTCCTGGGAAACACCACGCAGATACATCCTAAATGTATCCTAAGTGCAATAGTGTAAAGGGAATGGCAGAACGCGCTCCCTTCCAAGTGCATCTCTTTGAACATGTAAACAGTGCACCAAAGGATACTACGTTCCCCTTACTGGGAACTGCACAGACAGTGTCACGGCGAAGACCAAGACACACTCCACGGTTTCCCAACCCTTCCCCCACACTTGCAGACCACAAAACAGCAAATTAGGGTGCAAGGAGGGAGAACTCCAGGCACTTGTCTGTCCAAGTTCTTTGAACAGTTAGCTGTGAAGTCATCTCATTACATAGCCATCGCCAAAGTCAGCATCTGACTCCACAGCATCACTTTTATCAGATGGAGCATCTTCAGGCCACACACACTCTGAAGAGGAGCTGGGGCAAGTTGGCTGTGTCCCCTCTCCACTGGCCAGCAGAAGGCTTGATTCCATTGTGTGTGGATCCTCTGGATCAACTGTCTCTTCTGGAAGAGATAACAACATCAGAGGGTCTTCTTCTGAGTTGTCACTGTCATTGTCATTGTTGTCATCGTCATTGGGGACCCTCATAAGCACAGAGTTTAAATCTACATTGAAGATAATTCTGTCTCCAGACTGCTCAGTGGAGCTGCTGTCTTCAGAGAAAGGATCCTGGAGGGGACTCTCTCTCCTCTCATAGGGCTCACTTATATGTTCCAACTGCCAGGGGCTGTGTGCTGGGATCACGGGGAGCTCCGCATGAGCCTCAGGCAGGTCAGGCTGGTCAGAGGAGTCTGGGTCTGTGGACTGGGACTCCACAGATGTGGCTGAGGAAGCAGAGGCCTGGCTCAGAGGTCTGCCTGTTAGGCCGTGCATGGTGTAACCAACTCCACTTGTTCTGGGGCTGGTTTCATTATCACTGTCACTCTCATCATCATAACTGTAATCCCACACTTTCTTCTTTCTGTTGATAGAAATGACCTCTACTAAGTCCATGGCTTCGCACGGTGGTAGCTTGGGAATCCAGACTGAAAAGTTATGAAAATTCTTAAAAAAAAAAAAAAAGAGTCTGTATCAGTTGTCAGTGTTTGCTCTTTATATGTCACACAATAAAACTTAATGAGCCGGGTGTGGTGGCATGTGCCTGTCGTCCCAATCACTTGGGAGACTTCAGGGAGGACTGCTTGAACTCATGAGTTCGAGGCTGCAGTGGGCTGTGACTGCATCTGTGAATAGCCACTGCACTCCAGCCCAGGCAACATAGCAAGACCCTGGTTCTAAGAAAAAAAAAATTAATTAATTTTTAAAAATTAAAAAGAAATTAAAACAACTTAATGAGATTGACTGTAAAATGATGCAGATGATGATAATGATCAGAACCATAATCATAGCTGACAGTTATATATAGTGCACACAATTTGCCCGCCGCTGGTCTTAGTGCTTTATATATAATTTACATGACCCTCCCAGCCACAGTCTGAAGTAGGCTTCCTATTCTTTTTTTTATTTTTATTTTTTGGAGACAGAGCCTCAAGCTATCCCCCTCGGTAGAGTGCTGTGGCATCACAGCTCACAGCAACCTCCAACTCCTGGGCTCAGCGAGTCTCCTGCCTCAGCCTCCCAAGTAGCTGGGACCATAGGCGCCCGCCACAATGCCTGCCTGGCTATTTTTTGGTTGCAGCTGTCACTGTTGTTTTGGTGGGCCTGGGCTGGATTCGAACCTGCCACCTTAGGTGTATGTGGCTGGCGCCTTAGCCAATTGAGCCACAGGCGCTGAGCCAGGCTTACTATTCTTATGCCCACTTACAGGTAAGAAAATGAGGTACAGAGGTTAAGAAACTTGCTCATGGTTCATGACAGCTGGATTTCAAACCAGTCTCTGTCTGACCAGAGACTCTATTTGGACTCACCCCTCCTGCCTTCCTCTCCCTTGGATGATTCTTGCCTGTCAGAAGAACCTCTCCATTTAAGGTGCATAGATTTCAATTCCAGATTTCCAAAACATTCTTCAGTGGTGCCAGGGAACCATGGGATAAGGGAAGACTCTAGGGAACTGATTCTATTAGGCTTAAAGGCCCAGAGAAATAATATGTTTCCTCTGGTCTAGAGGACCTTAATGCAGATGGCCCCTAAGGGTCAGGCATGGGACACAAGTCTATTCTAATCCAGCCCTGGAAAGAAAACACCTCCAGGACCCAGCTCAAGTGAATAGGAGGCAGGGTAAGTGTTCCCCTCTCTGAAGGGTCCTGGTTGTCAAATTGACCTCAGCAGGATGATCAGCGAGAAGAATGGTCCCAAAAAAAATTTTTTTTTTTTGAGACAGAGCCTCAAGCTGTCCCCCTGGGTAGAGTGCCGTGGCATTACAGCTCACAGCAACCTCCAACTCCTGGGCTCAAGCGAGTCTCTTGCCTCCGCCTCCCAAGTAGCTGGGACCACAGGCGCCCACCACAACGCCCGGCTATTTTTTGGTTGCAGCCGTCATTGTTGTTTGGCAGGTCCAGGCTGGGGATACGAACCCGCCACCTTAGGTGTACGTGGCTGGCGCCTTAGCCAGTTGAGCTATAGGCGCCGAGCCCCAAAAATTTTTTAAGAGCCATGGAGTTCTCATTGGCATTGCTCTCCTCTCTGCTCTCTGTGCCCACACAGGCCATCCAATCTGACAGACCTGCTCTTCCCTTACTCTATACAGACCCTGCCTTGGGGTGAATTATTCTACTGGGTTGTTCATCTTTTTTCTTATTGATTCATAGATGCTCTTTATATAATTGGTACAGTATTTGTCAATAATTTATGTTACCTATATTTTCCCCTAGTCTGTGGTTTATCATTTTACTCTCCTTATGATGACATTTGGTGAAAAGAAATCCTTGGTTTTAATGTAAGAAAACTTATCAATTTTATTCTTGTATGGCTTTCGCTATGTGATCTGAATCTTCCTTATTCCAAAGTCACAGAGAATACCCTATACTGCCTCCTAAAACTTTTAACAGTTTTGCCTTTCACATTAGTCTTTAATTTACCTGGAACTGATTTTTGTGCATGACGTGGAGTAGGCATCCAATGTCATTTATTGATCAGTCTTTCTTTTTCTCACTAATCTACAGCACCCACTCTGTCATTAATCATGTTTTCATATGTGTGAGTCTGGGCACACATTCGACAAGGTCTTTATTAATGCTCTTCAATAAGATTTGATAATTTTTATCACAAATGGTTTGCATATCTGCTGTAAGAATCAGTCCTCAAATGTTCTAAACATATTTTTTGTTACTATTTAATAGTATATTTTTTAAACTATATGATTCTAGTTGTATCAAGTTCAAAGGCTGGCAAAACTAATTCATAGTATTAGTAATCAGGATAGAGGTTACCCCTGGTTAGAGGTACAGACTGGATGGCAAGAGAGAAAACTGTAGGGATACTGGTCATGTTCTCTTTCTTTATCTGAGCATGAGTCACAAGGGTGTGGGCAGTTTGTGAAAATTCAGTAAGATTTACACATATCATTTGTGTACTTCTGAATATTGAAAAGTGGCTTCGTGTTTATTTTCTGAGTGCTGCTAGTAAATAAAAATCCAAGCATTTGATTCTTGCTCTGTTGTCTGAGCTAGAGTACAGTGGTATGATCATAGCTCACTGTAACCTCAAACTCCTGGGTTTAAGTGATCATTCCTGAGACTAAAGGTATGTGCCACCCTTCCCAGCGAATTAAAAAAAAAAGTGTTTATAGAGGTCTTGTCATGTTGCCCAAGCTGATCTCAAAATCCTGGCTTAAGTGATCCTCCTGCCCTGGCCTCCCAGAGTGCTGGAATTACTGGCATGAGTTGCTTCCCCCGGCCATTAAAATGCCAGATGTTTTTTTTTTTTTCTTTTTTTCTTTTTTTTTTTGCAGTTTTTGGCCGGGGCTGGGTTTGAACCTGCCACCTCCGGCATATGGGGCCAGCACCCTACTCCTTTGAACCACAGGCGCCGCCCAAAATGCCAGCATTTTTTACACTGATTTTATGTATAACAACTTTGCTAAACTTATTCATTTTAATAATTTATCTTTTTTTAAGCATCTATTTCTGATTTAACAAACACATTAGGCCTAGAACATTCTGTTCCCATATTCTTAGAGTTTTTACTTAAACACAGTGTAACAATTTTTTTTTTTTTTAAGACAGTCTCATTCTGCCACCCGGGGTAGAGTGCCATGATGTTATAGCTCATAGCAACCTCAAACTCTTGGGTTCAAGCGATCCTCTTGCCTTAGCCTCCCAGGTAGCTGGGATTGTAGGTGCCCAGCATGATGCCTAGCTAATTTTTCTATTTTTAGTAGAGACAGGGTTTCACTCTTGTTCAGCCTGGTCTGGAACTTCTGAGCTCAAGCAACCCTCCTGCCTCAGCCTCCCAAAGAGTTAGGATTCCAGGCCTGAGCCACTCCAGGAAAAACACAGTATAACAATTTTTTTTTTTTTTTTGGAGACAGAGCCTCAAGCTTTCCCCCTGGGTAGAGTGCCATGGCATCACAGCTCACAGCAACCTCCAACTCCTGGGCTCAAGTGAGTCTCCTACCTCTGCCTCCCAAGTAGCTGGGACTACAGGTGCCCGCCACAACGCCTGGCTATTTCTTTTTGTTGTTGTTGTTGCAGCCATCATTGTTGTTTGGCGGCCCCGGGCTAGATTTGAAACTGCCACCTTAGGTGTATGTGGCTGGCGCCTTAGCCACTTGAGCCATAGGCGCCGAGCTGGCATAACAATTTTTAATAGAGAAATACTAGACAGACTCACGATGACAACATGACAAGAATACAATTTTATCAACTGTGGAGGGATATTTAATTCTAATTGAATAAATCAGGAGAATAACGTGAATGAATTCAAACAGAAAAATATTTCTGAATGAAAGACTATAAAACTAATGTAAAAAACAAGTGGTAGTATAGGAAAAATGATAAATGATGGGCCAAAACAGCTGAGTCAAAAGACGGGGGGGAAGTTTTAGAAACATGTGAGATCAATACCCAGACTTGGCTGAATAAAGGCTCTGAGCAGAAGCACGGAGAAGAAATGAAGACAAGTGAACGGCTCTTTTCAGTGATAATAAAGATAACACTAACGAAAGCAGCTACAGGGGACTGTTAAACACAAGACAATGAACAAAAGTATTAAAAATAATCAGTGTCAGTGGCGCTTTGGAGAAATATGTACACCAATATATTGCTATTGGCATTATAAATCGGTTAATGATAAATCCACTTTGTGTATATGTTTCACTCAAGTAATCTAAAAAAGATAATCTATATAAAAATGTTTATTGTACTATTCATAATGGCCAAAGAAAGAAAAGGAAAAGAAATAAAAAAGAAATCAGTCCAAATGCCCCATAGCTAAGAAATGGTGAAGTGAAAAGGAATACATTACTAATAATGAACTTTCCTCTGGTCATTATAAGTAATAGGTGGAAAGCGTATACAAACAGAAAATGCATGAGTTTATTTAAAACCGCAAAATGCAGGTCAGACAGAAAGTTTGTTAAATTGCACTTGAACTTTGTCTGCCCTGTATATGTATGTAGGAATGGAAAAGAACCCAGCACCTGGGTGTTTTTTGAAAATGAGATTTTTTTCCTGTGAAAATATTTATGTATATAATACAAATTCTTAGCTTGAAATAAAAAAGATGGAAATTAAAAAAAAAGAAACTACATACCAAGGCTTTGGGGAAATTGTTTCGTAAGCATATATAGCCAATCCGTTTCAGTATTACTATGGTGCTTGTCAAGAACGCGGCCATCAAAAACAAGATAATTATTCCTCCTATTTTGGCAGATTCTGATGCTTCTGTGGATGAAAATTAAGTGACTTTATTTCAAAAGAAATCCAATAAATGGTCATAGATGGGAATAAATACACATTGGCCTCATGTGAAAGGCTGATATCAAGAAAGCAAAAGTTTGAAAAATAAGTTTTATTTTGCTAAATACTAAGGAATGGAGAGCAATCCAAGTGTGTGTATTTTCAACAATAAGATAGATTTAGCTATGAAAAGTACAATTTTTTTTCCCGCTTGTGTTCTGTAACTCCTCAGTCTAGTATAGTAGTCACTAGCTGTGGCTGTTTGAATCTAAATGATCAAAATTAAATAGAATGAAGAGCTCAGTTGCTAGGTCACACGAGCTACCTCTTACATGCTCAAAGGCCACAGTTTGTCTGCACAGCAGGCGGGAAACTGTGGGAAAGCAGAATCTGCCTGAATAAAACCAGCTGGCCCCTTCTGAGGCTCTGCAGAGCCCACTTTGCTCTGTTAAGAGTCCCCCTCGGCTTCTCATCAAAATTCGTTCGTACAGTTTCCACTTTCTGACTGAACATGGCTTTTTTCCAAAAGTCTGACTAGACTGAGAAGAAATCAGTAATGACGTAACTAAGGCTCTCTTGACTTTCCAGAAAGACCTGAATGCATATTAATTCTGTAACTACAGCCTCGGGCAAAACAGAGGGGAGAAATAAAAAAATGGATTCCATACTTTAATTCTTTCAGAAGGTTAAGGAATTAGTAGAAAGGGACTCAGTAAAGATGCTGGCACTGCTAGACAGGACTCACGAAGCCACTCTTGTCCTCATTGAGAGCAAAATGAGGGACTGTCAATTCAGGACAGTTCCAGATGTAGCTCTACCACAGAGGAAAACCTTTATGATACAAAATTCCTACACATATAGAGTTTACATTCCTGAAAGGGATACTATAAACCAAAGTGATTTCATTGGTGACCCAATGGCATAATACTGGCATTCTGACTCATCTACCCACCCAACTAGCAGCTATTAGCTACAAGGCAGATTCGGCCATCTATGTACTAGGACATCCTACAAACTGGATTACGTAAATTCTAGTTACTATGCTAGGATAATACTTCTCAATTTGGGGTGTTCTCATGCATCTGAGGTCCTTTATGACAACTTGATATTTTTGTTTTTAGCTTGTTGGTAATATAAAATATATAAATCTCTCATGGAGTCATTACAAATTACGCATGCAGGCTATTTTTATTTATTTTATTGTAAACTTTGTTACCCTTGGTAGAGTGGCATGGTGTCATAGCTCACAGCAACCTCATTTTTTATTTTTTGAGACAGAGTCTTACTCTGTCGCTCTCTGGTAGAGTGTGATGGTGTCATCAGAGCTCACAGCAACCTCAAACTCTGGGGCTTGAGCAATCCTCATCCTTCAGCCTCCAGAGTAGCTAGGACTACAGGCATGAGCCACTATACCTGGCTAGTCTTTCTATTTTTTTAGTAGAGATGGGGTCTTGCTCTTGCTCAGGCAGTTCTCAAACTCCTGAGCTCAAACAATCCACCCTTCTTGGTCTCCCAATATGATAGGATTACAGGTGTGAACCATCTTACCCAGCCATGCATGCTATTTTTAAACATTCCTGTTTGAAAAAATCTGAATTCTGCCAATGTTCCTACAGAAAGAGGAGAAATTGTAATTAGGTGTTATTCCTATTAACTATCTCCTTTAAAGATGAGTGAGATCAAGCCATCTTGGGAAGGGGAGACCAGGTTGTGTCTTCAAATTTTGGCCTTGGACAAACCTTTCCAAGTCCAGTCTTTCTCTGGACTCACTGAGACTTTTTTTTTTGTTGCAGGTTTTGGCCGGGGCCAGGTTGGCCCGCCACCTCTGGTGTATGGGGCTGTTGCCCTACACCTTTGAGCCACAGGCACCACCCCTCACTGAGACTTTTAAACAAAACATAAGGAACTTCACAAGCAGAGGGCTGAGCTAAGCAACAGGGGGTTGGTAATATCTGATTACAATTACCTTTAATGGAAAAGAAAAGGACTTTGTCAAAAGATTGATAATGATTAACATCAGTCTTCTGCAGCTCCCCCACTTCTCCTCCGCAGAAAGCACCCCCCCCCGCCCCGCCCCCCGCGCCACCTAGATTACTGCAGCATTGGCCCAGGCCTGGCTCCCACCTTGCGGCAGCTACTTTTACATCCTAAGTCCGATCATAAGGAGGCATTCTGCTTATCCCTCTGAGGGACCCTGTCTTACAGTGGATTCTAAGATCCTTTGGTGTCTAGGGTCCTCTACCTTTCTCTGACTCAAACTGTTACTATTCTGCCCTGCTCAGTTCACTCCCGCCATACCATGCCAGGCATAACCCTCATGTGGGATCTCCCCCCCCCATACATGTGCGTGACTCACTCCTTCACTTCCTGTGTTAGTTTCCTATTGCTATTGAAACATATCTCCACAGAATTAGTGCCATAAAACAATGAACATATGTTACGTCACAGTTCCGGTGGTCAGAAGTCCAAAATTAGTTTCACTGGAATAAAAATCAAAGTTTTGGCCGGACTACATTGCTTCTGGAGGGTCTAGGAGAAAGCCCATTTCCCTGCCTTTCCCAGGGTCTCTCGGCCCACAGCTCCTTCCTACATCCTCCAAGACAGTTTCATAGCATCTCCAAGTCTCACTCATTGACCTCTGCTGCTGTCACAGCTCCTTCTCTGACTCTGAGTCTCCTCCCCTTCTCTTTCCAGAAGGACCTGTGTACTTACCCTGGGCCCACCTAGATGACCCAGGATAATCTCCCCATCTCAGGAGCCTCATTCAGTCACCACTACAAAGCTCCTTTGCTAAGGAAGGCAGCCTGTTTACATATATGGGCTTAGGCTGTGAACATCTTTGGGGGTTATTATTCTGCTTGCCATACTCCCCTAGGTCTTTACTCAAATGTTACCCTCTCAGGAAGACCCTCCCTGGCCATCTGTGGCGGGTGCTGTGGTGTCTTGCACAAATCCTCTACCAGCATGCACCCCAAGTACTGCTGCGCCTGTTGGCTGATATAGCTCAGAGCTGATCCTACTCTGAGGAAATTCCCATGGCCAAAGTAGGGCAGCCTCATCTGGAGGCCACCCCACAGATCACCACCACTAACTGACCAGCTGACTAGAGCTCCATTCATGCTCCAGAGACTCTCCTGGGATCAGGTTCAAGCAAGGCTCAGCTGGGACCACATGGTTGCTTAGTTAATTTCTCTCCCCCCATCCCTAGCTATTTCCTCATTCTCCTTTCCAGATCCACCCCCAGCGCTATAAATCACACTCGAACAACAAGAACTCCCATCCCAGGCTCTACTTCTAGGGAATGTGAACCAAGACACTGCCTTATGTAAAGTAGTGGCTTACCCCCTCCACCTGACATACCCTCTACCTCCCTTCCTGCTTAATTTTTCTCAGTGGTACTTACCATTACTTAACATAGTGGACATTTTCCTTTTTTTTTTTTTTTTTTAACAGAGTCTTGTTCTGTTGCCTGGGCTAGAGTGCTGTGGCCTCAACCTTAGCACACAGCAACCTTATACTCCTGGGTTCAGGTGACTCTCCTGCTTCAGCCTCCTGAGTAGCTGTAACTACAGCTACCTGCCATCATATCTGGCTAATTTTTCTATTTTTAGTAGAGATGATCTCTTGCTTTGCTCAGGCTGGTCTCGAACTCCTGAACTCAAGCAATCCACCCACCTCAGCCTCTCAGCATGCTAGGATTACAGCTATGAGCCACCACATCCGGCCTATATATTCTACTTTTTAATCTAATTATTCTGTCTCCTACTGCAATGTAGTCTCCACAAGCTCAGGGATTTTTATCTATTTTGTTCACTGCTATATCCCCAGTTTCAAGAAAAGCATCTGGCTCAGAGCAGGCTCCCAATAAACGTCGATCAATGAATAAATAGGGCTATCTTTCCCTCAGGGCCTTATTGAAAGAGCCAAGCAATTAATTTAGGACTTGGCAAGAGGAAGGCATGTATCCAGCTGGGCTAAAATCCTTCCATAGCAGTATTCCCAAAGACTGCATTTACTGCTGAGCCTACACTAAGGCTAGGCTCCAGCTGTCCTTCAAAAGTCCCTCACCGTCCAAGCCTGCCTGGTTCCTGGGTTTGGCTAGTTGAGGACAGATCTGATGGCAAGTGGATGGTGAGAGATCCTACCTGGTTCCTGAGCTTCTGGCAGTAAGAATCTGGATATCATGTACAGTGGTCAAAGAGTTAGGGATACCTGCACCTTACTTGTCCTTCCCAGTCAGCCAACACATTTGCCTTGGCAGTGGGGATGCAGTTTCAGTAAATCATCATGGCTCTAACATGTTACTAATTTGAGTTTTTATTGTATGCAAGAGTTTTGGTTTCTTGTATAGAGCTTTAAAAACCTGTGGAATCTTCTGAGGAATAGGAGTGTCTTTTGTTATTCCTATTGAGTCCCTTTTAGGAATCATATCTGACAAGGAGTTGACACAGGGGGATGTGGACAGACACCTTCCAGATTAGGGCTGGTCACTAGAAAAACCAGCCCCACAATTGGAGGGTTGGAACTTCCAGCTCCATCACCAATCTCCAAGGAGGGGATGGGGGCTGGAGATCAAGTCCAATCCCGCGGCTGATGATTTAGTCAATTACACCTACATAATGAAGCCCAACAAAAACTCTGAACACCAAGGCTTGGGGAGCTTCCAGGCTGGTGAACAGATGGATGTGTGGGGACAGTGGTGCACCCTGACTCCACAGGGAGAAAAGCTCCTGCACTGGGGACCCTTCCACACCTTGTCGTATGCACCTCTTCATATATCTTTTATAATAAAATGGTAATCATAAGTGTAGCCCTTTCCTGAGTTCTGTGAGTTATGTTAGCAAATTGCTGACCCTGAAGAGAAGTTATGGTAACTTGACTTTGTAGCCAAGTCAGATAGAAGTACAAGTCACTTTGGGAGCTAGGACTTGTGACTGGCATCTGAAGTAGGGTCCTTCCTGTGGGACTGAGCCCTGAACCAGTGGAGCCTATGCCAATTTCAGGTAGTTAGTGCCAGAAATAAATCGAATTGTTGGACATTAGTTAGTGTCACAGAATTAGTTTTAGCACCTAAATATGCACATTATATGTACACCAAATAAATCATAGTTTATATAATATATACATATATGTATCTATCTATTTATATACTTATTTATTGCTTGTAGACAGAGTCTCACTCTGTTGCCCTGGGGTTGAGTGCCATGGTGTCATCATAGCTCACAGCAACCCCAAACTCTTTGGTTCAAGCGATCCTCATGCCTCAGCTTCCTGAGTAGCTGGGACTACAGGTGCCTGCCACAATGCCCAGCTAGTTTTTCTGTTTTTAGTAGAGACAGAGCCTCACTTCTGCTCAGGCTGGTCTCGAATTCCGGAGCCCATCTTGGTATTCCAGAGTGTTAGAATTGAGCCACTGTGTCCATCCTGGGGGTTTACATTTTTTAAAGAGCTATGGACATACTAACTCTATATGCAATTTTAGGTTTGCCTATATTTACTTGAAATTATAGAAATAACTTATGCTAAAGGTCTGAGACATTTTCCCCTTTAAAATCAGTTCATGCATCATTCGGCTTTGAGGAACACTGGAGAATCAAATCATTGTGCCCTGTGGCTAGACTAACCTCAAGCACAGCTCAGCAACATTGCAGTAGCGCCCTCAGTTCACAACCATATTGCTTAAAAGTCATTTCCTTATAAATCCTTCCTTATTTTTATTCTGGTAAATCAGGAGATTAAAGAAGCTTCCACTGGTGTTGGGAAATTTAGAAGGGGTCATAACAGGCGGAGACCTCATTCCTTCCTGAGGAAGGAACCAGCAGGGAAGGTTCCTGAGTTTGATCATTCTCACCGCACACTTCTCCATATGGTAGGGAGGTTCGGGCCACACTGTTTACTGTCCTGCTGTCTTTGGAACAGAAGGGCTTTCAGGCTTCATGAGTGACCATCATGGCCGCAGCGGCAAGTTTCCCTTTCATCAGTGAGCTACAGCCAATAGAACCAGGCCACACTAGTGAAGTGAACCACGCCCAACCTTGCTGCTTCTATCTGTCCCGCATCACGCTCTGATGCAGGCACAGGCTGCTGCTCCAGGCAACTCCACCACTTCTGGCATCTGGCTCAAACAATGGTCATACTAAGGGTGTGCAGCACTGAATTTAATCCTGACTCCCTGAAATAAAACTGTTTCCATTTCAAGAGGATCTGTGACCTTGTAAAGGTAGCTATCTGATCTTCCCTAAGGTAGAACAGCATCAAAGTGACTCTGCCAGATAGTGGAGACTGAACGATAGAGGACATGTCCGTCATGTGTGTTATTGGAAGAAAGACCTTTGGCACTCCACGGATTTCAGATTCCCCTTTGAATAGGTTTTCCCTCACAGTAAAAAAAGCATTAATTTTCAAAGCATGAATCTCTAAAAACTAACATACCTGATTCTTGGCCAGGATGAAGGAAGGTGCATTTTACAGGAGATTTTATTACTGTGTCTTGGTCTTTAGAGTCTAAATATACAGATACACAGTAGTTTGTGTTTGGAATTAACTTGTCAATGACATAGGTGATATCTCCACTGGTGTTTTCTTTTATTTTGGGTTCATGCTGTAAAAAAAAAATAGCCAAAAAATCAGTAAGACTTTGAATGAGAATTTCATTTAGAGGAGTCTTTTGGGGGATTTGTCTTCAAATCTCACATGGAATTAAATCACAGGCTTGGTAAGAAGGATTTATAAGTCACTTAGGGCAATTTGTACAAAACGACATAGACATGTATTTATGTACACGTGCATACGTTCATATTTTACAACCATGAAATCTCATCTAGCAACTTCATTTTACAAATGAGGAGAAAAGGTCCCAAAGAGGAATAATCTCTGTGATGTCAAGATTGTCTTGTCTCATTGACAACATGTGTCTACTTTACACTTGAGAAAGTGCTTTCATACATATTAACTCACTTGATTTGCAATTAGTCTGCAAAATAGGCATAATTTCCGTTCCACAGATGAGGAAACTGCAGCTAAGGGTGGTTAAGTAACTTCTCCAAGGTCACACAGCTTGTCTGCCACTGAACCAAGGCTGACGTCTACTTTCCTGTTTCTTCCCTTGAAACACTTTGCCTCTTCTTTCCCATGCAGCTGTGTTCCATTTCAGAATTAAAAAGATGATATAAAGGTTCTTTCACAAGTGACAACTTTTGTACCACATTTTATAGTTTTCAAGATACATTCTCACTAGCAGTTTTAGAAATGAGGATTTCTGGGGCTGCGCCTATTGCTCAGTGGGTAGGGCGCTGGCCCCATATACTGAGGATGGCGGGTTCAAACCCCGCCCTGGCTAAGCTGCAACAACAAAAAAATAGCCGGGCCTTGTGGCTGGTGCCTGAGGGCTTGGCTACTCGGGAGGCTGAGGCAAGAGGATTGCCTAAGCCCAAGATTTGGAGGTTGCTGTGAGCTGTGACACCACAGTACTCTACCGAGAGTGACAAAATGAGACTCTTTTCAAAAAAAAAAAAAAGAAATGAGGACTTCTGGCCAGGTGCGATGGCTCACACTTGTAATCCCAGAACCCTGGGAGGCCAAGGAGGGAGGATTGCCTGAGCTCATGAGTTCGAGACCAGCCTGAGCTAGAGCGACAGCCCATCTCTAAAAATAGCCGGGCATTGTGGTAGACAACTATAATCCCAGCTACTTGGAGACTGAGGCAAGAGAATTGCTTGCCCAAGAGTTTGAGTTTGTAGTGAGCTATGATGCCACGGCACTCTACCAAGGCTGACAAAGTGGGACTTTGTTTCAAAATAAAAAAAAAAAAAAGAAAATGAGGATTTCTAGACATTCAAATACAGTCTTCTATAAAAATGCTTTTCTGTAAGTTTCTGTCTGGAAGGAGGAGGATTTAATAAACAAACACACAGCCCAACAAACTAAAAGTTTCCCCTCCAGTGGCCACCGAGTATCCCTCCTCCCCTGCATAGAAAAACTCCGGAGAAGAATGAGCTTGCCCCTCCATTTCCAACTTTTCTCTTCCCTCTCTTTCTTGAATCTACCTCAGCCAGAGGTCTTTGCCCCGTGACTCAACAAACTACTTTTATCGGGGCACAGTGATATTGCTAAATCTAATAATCAGGTCTCGGCTAACTTGTCCTGTTTGCATTACTGAACTCAGTAGGGTCGGTATCTCTCTGGAATTTTCTTCTCTCAGGTATCAGGACATCACGCTCACCTGTTTTTCCTCTCACCATGCCAGCTGCTCCTTCTTAGTCTGTTTTTGCTTTTTCTTCCTCATTTGCTAGATCTCCAAATTTTGGAATGTTCCAGGGCTCCACCCTGGATGTCTACCTCCCAGGAATCCCGTCTGGTCTCTAGGCATTCAACATAGACCAAGAAGCCAAAGGCTCCCCCAGGACATGTGTCTAGCTGGGAGTTCTCCCCTGGACTCCAGACTCGGGGCATCACATCCAACTCCTGCCCAACATCTCCGAGATGCCTTATGGGCACGTTGAATTTGATGTGTCCAAAACTGAGCAGCTATCTAACTCCCGCTTGCTCCATCCACAATCAATCCCGTTTTAGTTAACAGCAACTCCAACTTCTCTCCTCTCTTTCTCTACCACTCCACGCATCCAGTCTACTTGAAAATGCTATTGGCTCCATGTGCAAAAAATATCTATGCACAAGGTGATGGCTTCTCATACCCTCAACCAGCAAGTGGGAGAAGCCACCACCCTCTGTGGCCTGGATTATACTACCTATTTTCCCTTAATCTAATCAAGACCAATTTTCTTTAATGAAGAAGATTAACTGTAGTTTTCCTCTTACTGAGTTGTCAATATCCTAAGAAGCACAGGATATTTATTTTAGAAGTCCCAATCTAAAACCAGAGTGAGCAGCTCTAGGCTTGAATGCAAATAAGACATGATTGACATATAATATCTAGTGACACTTGATATGGCCCCTGAGTCACATGAACCTATTCTTCCCCTATTATTTTTGCTTCTTTTTTCTTGTGTGTTGATTATAATCCATATGGATATTAAAGGAAAAAATGGTAATAGTCAAATACTCTGCCTGTTAAGTGACTGTTATCCCAACTGGTCTCCCAGCTTCCATCTTTGGCCGTATGATCCATTCTAAAGTCATCAGTCAGGATGCTGTTAAGCCTCAGGTCCTCCAGTGTCACACTCAGAAGACTCAGACCCACGAAGCCCTACCAGGTCCAGGCCCATCACCTCTTCCTATTCTTCCTGTTCGCCACTCCAATCCTGCCACCTCTCCATGCTGTGTCTCAAACCCAAGGGCCCACTCCAGCCTCAGGGCCTTGGAACTTCCTGAGCCCCCTGTCTGAAATGCCTGTTCCCTGATGTCTTACAGGCTGACCTAACTTTCAAGGGTTTTATAATTGGCAAAGGATCCTGCAAATGCAAACTATAGGTACAGCCGTGACCACTGGTGAGTGCACCTTGTCCACGTTCACTTATTCCAGCACCCTGAGGGAGGCAGCCAAGGAAAACAGATCCAGGTCTGTCTGACACCAGGGTTACCCTGAGGTTACTGACAGTCAGGTCATTTGGGGGGCATCAGGAGTGGCCAGAACTGCCGGAAAGTGTCACTTCCCCCACTGTGTGTGACAAGGGAAAAGGCAGAGATAGATGCTTTTCCTGTGTGGCTCAGCTAAATTACTCTTTTCAAAGAACTCTCTCCCCCTGGCTTGCTGAAATCATGCTTCAGACCTCTCTCTTCTCTGTGTCCCCTGATGTAACGCACATGGATTATTCTCTTAAGATTGCACTGCAGGGTTAAATCAATACATTTTCACAAGAAATGAGCTATAGAGACTTTTTCCTGAAATCAGACCTTGTAGTTGTAAGTGTTCAACTGCAAATTTCTTTTTTCAAAGAGAGAGTCCATTGTTTTGTTGCCAACTCACTACCTCTAGAGACAACTTACCTTCTTAACAATCCCCTCCGACTCCTCTTCGATGATGAGTGATAAATCAAACTGCAGTCCTTCCTCAGTGACCAGAGGAAATTTCACCAGCACATTAATATGGTCTGTAAAACCAACAATCTCAAACTCCGGTGGTTCAAAAGAAACTATTTAGAAAAACAAAGTAGACACAAGCCCGGGGTCAGTCAATGATTGTGTAACAGGTGCCTCCCATTTTGATGCAACCTTATGTCTTTCAAAGGAAAGCTATTTGCATTTTAATCTGCCTATGATCTGAGTTGTAGTATGTGTTATTTTTATTTTATTGGTAAAAAATCTAAAATAATAAAATAATATAGGTGAAATGAAATCAAGAAAAGGTTTTAGAACAGAAGCCAGTAACTTTCCCAATTTTCAGGCTGTATTCTTAATACAAAATTAAAGATGACTTATTTGCATATAATGATAATATACAATCATCATAGAAATATCAGAAAATAAGCCACATATACATATATATACACACATATATATATGTAATCTAAAATTAAATCAGTCTGTTTTGCAGGATGCATATTTTAGTAACTATATTTCATAAACATATCAATACACATCTAGCTAAATAAGGGCTGTAAAGGACGCCTTGTGGGCTGTGCACTTTTGCATTGCCTGCAAGTTCAGAATGGTTTTTATTTTTTAAGAGTTGTAAACAAAAAATGAAGAATATGTGACAGTGACCACATGTGGCCCACAAAGTATAAAACTGTTTCTTCCCTGGCGCTTTGTAGAAAGTCTGTTATGCCCTGATTTACAGCACAGTTTTTCATGACTGATTATTCTATTCCACTAAGTGGCTGTACTAAGGTCTAACTGATTCACTGTTTCAAACAGTTAGATTGTCTCTATTTTTTCTGAAAAAACTCAATGTACATTGAGTGTTCATGTAGTGAAGTCTTTCCATTTGTCCTTAATAATTTTTTTTTGCTTTTTTTTTGAGACAGAGCCTCAAGCTGGCCCCCTGGGTAGAGTGCCATGATATCACAGCTCACAGCAACCTCCAACTCCTGGGCTCAAGCGAGTCTCCTGCCTCTCCCCCCAAAATGGCGGGGCCTCGGGGGCCCGCCACAATGTCTGGCTATTTTTTGGTTGCAGCCATCATTGTTGTTTGGCGGGCCGGGGCTGGGGATTCAAACCCGCCACCTTAGGTATATGTGGCTGGCGCCTTAGCTGCTTGAGCCACAGGCGCCACGCCTGTTCTTAATAATTTCTTTAGGAAAAATTACTAAACAGGAATTCTAGAATGGAGTAGGCATATGTTAAAGTTTTTAATGAATACTGTCAAAGCCTTCAGAAGGACTGCACCGAACATGATGTCTGTATACCCTCTAAATCTGGGTATTTATCTATTTTTCATATTTATCATTTGAGACAAGAAAAAAATTCTCATTATTATGTTAATGTAGATTTTTTTCATGATCCAAATACCATGACCTATATATTGTGCTCTTCTTTTTTTTCTATGTATACACGCACAGATTTGTCTGTTTATACACATTCCCAAACATGCACAAAATTCTGGCAAAGCTCGCATCTAACTTGTTTGCCGAAAAGAGAATTGGTCTTCATTACCACTTTGCTAAGAGTGTGCGTGCGTGCGTGTGTGCGTGTGTGTGTGTGAACTCACACCGCCAGTAACAGGGAGCTGAAGCTGAATCGCTGTCTGGAAACTGGTCGTGAATTATTCTCCTGCACCTGTCCCAGTATGCCTTCATTTGTTTATTGAGCTGCAGCTGTTAACATAAGTGCCTTGGGGATCTGACTCCAGTCATCGGGAAAGACAAAAGGGGCAGACTCACTCTTGGGGGTCCTGTCTTCTCCTCTGGGTGTTCACATGCACAAGAGCTGCTGTGTTACCATCTGGGGGTGGAGCTGCAGTACTAAGAGAAACCCTGGCCCAAAGAGATGGGAAAGCTTAGCTGGAGAACGTGAACCCAGCTCCCCACTTTTGGGCTGTGAAACAGAAAAACAGCAGTGACTACTGTCTAAATGCCTCCCTTACCAGGCTTTGAGCAAATCTGTGAAGTATAGATTACTGTTTCACTTTTCAGATAAAAAACTGAGGCTCAGAGAAAGGAAGTAAGGAGAGCCAGGAGGGGAACCTGCAAGCTCCTTCCTATCTCATGGTAGAGCAAATACTGATGATCTTGATGATTAGGATGAAACGGAGAAACAGAGATCAACTCACTGTCCATGGCTGGCATGAAAGGCCTAGTGCAGTTGACCAGCAACATGTTCCCTCTGAATCCTTCCACTAGCGTGAGGTAGATCTCATGTATGTCTTCCCACACACCTGTTAGGTCACAAAATGATCTTTTGATATTTGTACAATCCGCCACAGTCTTCATGTCTTCGTCTCTACTATGGAAAGAAAAGAAATTGGAAAAAGGAAAATGTTAGCATTTACGTCGTGGGAATCAGTTCCCGGGGTGCCTCACGTCCTTATTTCCTTTAGGGTCTGCTCAATCAAATACCACTCTATCAAATCATCTTCTTACCCCTCTTATTTAAGACCAACATCTTGCGCTCTCCCCACGCCTGCACTGTCAACGCCTCTTGCCCTCACTCTCCCTTCAGAGCGGTTCCCTGCACCTGCCCCAGTATGCCTTCATTTGTTTACTGATGTCTCCACCTACTTTCAGAACATACACTCTGGGGGGCAGGGATTTTGGTTCACAGCTGGATGCCTGGCATGTAGGAGGTGTTCAGTAAGTATTTGTTGGATGAATGAATGAAACTTGGGCTTTTATTACAAAGGACTCATATCTTTCTCCCTCTACCGAACAATCATGAATGCCTTCCCTGAGACCTCTCCCCCTTCCTTTCTCTGGCTAAGACTACAAGATCCAGGGCTAAATCCTGGGTAGAGATCTGATCTACTGAGCTTTAGAAAGGTAGGGGGTGATACATGTGACGACTTGAAGCAGACTGAAACTTTAAGACTTTATCAGGTGCTGAAGAGAAACTCCACTGCTGGGTCCATCAGTAGCAGTGGCCAGCAAATAAATAACCAAAGGGCTACAGATCAAAGCAATGACTTATGGGAGTGATCGTCAGACACAGAAGGAGAGAGCCAAAGAAGGCTCCACGTGTTATGTCCAATCCTTCAGTAACCCCTCAGTGGAGGTGTTAGTTTGGACAGGCTGAGCTTTGTACCAGGTTGCAAGCTGATTAGTGTCCAAACCTGACCTTGGACCCAGGCCTGTCCTAGACTAGGCCAGATAGCTTTCTGGTGTCCAACCAGAATAAAGGTGAACATAAACAATCAATATGTTCAAAAGACCTTTGCACTCCTCTCCTCAGAAAACACAGGAATTTTAAACATTCAGATCAAATGAATTAGAAAAATCATTACAAAAACCAAGCACAAAAATTATTTTGTTTTTGAGGTTTAGACCTGTAGGAATTGGCTTAGATTGTAAATAGAAGCTCTGTCAGAAGGAACTCTGGATTATTAAAGCATTCAATGATCAAAAACAGATGGGCGCTTTGCCTTTGGCCTTTTAAGGCTTTGAATAAAGAAGAAAGAGAAGAGAGATATCACCTCTTCCCCCACTCCCTACATAATAGAAGGATGATATAAAAAGCGAAATGTCAAACCAACCTCATGACTGTGTACGATAATGAATAGTGAGTTGGGACAATGGAAAGATTTTTTAATTCCCACGATAAGATTGACCGGAAATTTCGTAATGTCATCTTTGAAATGCAAGCTTCATTTGAAGACTCTAAAGAGAAAAAAAGGGAAAAGCCACGTTAAAATGTAAAGGCCCCTCCCAATGAAATAAAATAAAATGTAAAGCCCAAGGTTGTATTCTGGTCACTGTTCAATCATCTTTTGGGATATAGGGCTTAATATCTCTAGCAGAGAAACCTTCCGGAGAGCCTTAGGGTCTTAGAAACAGGAAGTCTACTGGACATGGGAAATTAACTAATACAGTTTATCAAAATAAGCAACATATTGTCAGGGTAGGCAAGCTTGGGAAATAGGAGCTCAGCACTGTATAAATAGAATTTGGACGGAAGGGAGTCTTCAGTTATCATTGACTCTCTCCCTGTGGTTCATTGGACGAAGGTCATCCTGGCCCAAATGGTGCACTTCCCCTTTCCCTCCATACCCTATTCTTTCAACTCAGCTCCCCGCTTCTCCAAGAAGTCCTCTGTAAGTAACCCAGCCTGCTGCAAGTTGAATTCCCTACTGCACTTATTCCCTAATTACAGATAGGAAGGTAGTTGAATGTGTGCCCAGACTAGCCCTTTCTAGGCATTTAAGCCCTACAACAATGCTGAAGTAGGCACTAGCAATTGACCCATTTTACAGACTGTGAAACTGAGCTGAGTTATGCAACTGAGAAACGCAGCAGCAAAGGAGACTCAAAGCTACACTTGTCAAATCCTGCCTTATAAGGTAACATTTTTAAAGATCATTTAAGTTTCCTGTGGTTAGGACCCAGGCCTTCGCTTTTTTTTTTTTTTCCCAAGTTTCAGATATTTATTAGTCAGTGTAATCCCCAATACATCAGCATGATTTCATGCATTGAAAGGAGAAATATTTCCTGTTAAGTAGAGAATTGTGCGGATGGCTTCTGGAACACCTTCATTCTAAGCAGTTTTGTAGTGAAACTTTTCTTTTAGAAGTCTGGACCATCTTGCTTCAGTTTGCAATAATCCACATTCACTGAGTAGAATCTGTATTGATCATGGAGAGCCAGTTTGTTTCAGGGTTCTGGGTATTGTTCAATCCAGATGTTAGTTGGGACAGAAAGGCCTTGGCTTCTTGATTGTCAGCTCTTCAGCTCCCAATACTTAGCACAGAGCTGGTCCCATGTTTAATGCTTTGTCAAATTTTGTGGATAGATTTACATATGTAGGCAAGAAGTTTAGTTAAAAAAATTATTTCCTTTTATCCAGAATCAACAGGTGGAAGAATGTAAATTAAAGAGAAACTATTTCTGGATCATTTTTTATTTGGCATCGTCTGTATTGCCTCATTCTTCTATTAGTGAGAATATTAAAGAGTCTGCATATTCTTTTGAGGGGGTTTTAAAATGATCACTAGTGTTAATTCTTATAGTAGTGTTACTTCTTATAGTAGTTTTCTGAGACAAGTGTGAAGACCTGAGTAGGCTCATTTTAGCTCCTTTTATGGAGAAAGGATCTCAATAAAATATGAGTTCACAAATCAAATTTCCCATACTTTATATCTATGATTTCTCCAACACGCTGACCCTTACACAAAATTTAGTGAGGCTAAGAGAATGTCTTACCAGTCCAATCCGGTGAAACACCAAATACTAGGCTGATGACCACTACGAGGAAGAAAAACAGGTTAGAGAAGCAACAAAGTTTCTCTCTAGGCTCATGTAAGATTCTCCCAAAGACATGTATTAATACTGGATTAAGATTTTCTTGGGCAATAAAACAAAAATGCTCAAGTAAATGGTTCTTACTTGACACCGCCCCCAACAGCAAACGGTCTACGGATTATGTCCTGAGTAGACTGCAAATAAGATCCATTTAGGAGCTGACACCAACAATTAGCATGCACAGACCCTGTTCCACTCTGATATTTCCACTTAAATATATGTGGGAACATGGTCATTTCAGTAGATGCAGAAAAAAAATCTGATAAAACCCAGCACCCTTTCATGATAAAAACTCCCAAGCAATGGGTATAAAAGGAACATATCTCAAAATTATGAAAGCCATATGTGACAAACCCACAGCCAACATCATTCTGAATGGGGAAAAGTTGGAATCATTCTCCCTATGAATGGAACAAGACAAGAGTGCCCAGTGTCACCACTTTTATTCAATATAATATTAGAAGTCTGAGCCAGAACAATCAGGCAAGAGAAGGAAATAAAGGGCGTCCAAACTGGGAAAGTAAAGGTTAAACTATCCCTGTTTGCTGATCTTTTATCTAGAAAACTCTAAAGACTCCACCTAAAGACCCCTGAATTGATAAATAAATTCAGCGAAGTCTCAGATTACAAAATCAATGTATGCAAATCACTAGCATTACTGTATATTAACAAAAGTCAAGTGGAGAATCAAATAAAGGACCAAGTACTATTTATAATACCTACAAAGAAAATAAAATACCTAGAAAAACACTTGGCTTGGCGCCTATAGCTCAACCAGCTAAGGCGCCAGCCACGTACACCTAAGGTGGCGGGTTCGAATCCCCAGCCCAGACCCGCCAAACAACAATGATGGCTGCAACCAAAAAATAGCCGGGTGTTGTGGCGGGCGCCTGTGGTCCCAGCTACTTGGGAGGCAGAGGCAGGAGACTCGCTTGAGCCCAGGAGTTGGAGGTTGCTGTGAGCTGTAATGCCACGGCACTCTGCCCAGGGGGACAGCTTGAGGCACTGTCTCAAAAAAAAAAAAAAAAAAAAAACACTTAACAATGGAGGTTAAAGATCTCTTCAAGGTGAACTTTAAAACACTGACAAAAGAAATCCCTGATGACACAAACAAATGGAAAAACATCCCCTGCTCATGGATGGATTAATAGAATCAACAGCATTAAAATATCCAGATGGCCCACTGTGATTTATAGATTCAATGCAATCCCCATCAAAATGCCAGTGTAATATTTCACAGATTTAGAAAAAATAATCTTAAACTACATTTGGAACCAAAAAAGACCCCAAATAGCCAAAGCAATCTTAAGTAAAAAGAACAAATCTGGAAGCATCCCATTATCTGATTTCAAATTACACTACAAGGCTACAGTAACTGAAACAGCATGGCACTGGCATAAAAGTATAGATATAAATGAATGGAACAGAATAGAGAACCCAGAAATAAAGCCACATACCTACAACAAACTGATCTTTGACAAAGCAGACAAGAACATGCACCAGGGAAAGGAAGCTCTATGCAATAAATGGGGATGGGAAAAGTGGACAGATACACACAGAAGAATGAAACAGGACCCTTCTCTCTCACCACACACAGAAGTTAATTTAAGATGATTAAAGACTTAAATGCATGTCATGAAACCATAAAAACTGGAGAAGAAAATGTGGGGAAACTCTTCTAGATGTCAGCCTAGGCAAAGAATTTATGACTAAGATCCCCAAAGGCAAATAAATATAGCAACAATGAAAGTAAACAAATGTGACTTAATTAAATTAAAAAGCTTCTGCATAGCAAAGGAAAAATCAACAGAGTAAACAGATAACCTACAGAATGGGAGAAAATATTCACAAACTATACATCTAACAAAGGAATAATTTCCAAAATCTATAAAGAAGTCAAACAAATCAGCATGGAAAAAAGGCATCAAAAGATGAGCAAAAGACATGGGCAGAATTTTTTCAAAAGAAGATAGATAGGCAAATGGTTAACATACATATGGAAAAACACTCAACATCACAAACCATAAGAGAAATGCAAATTAAAACCATAATGAGATATCACTTTACCCCTGTTAGAATGGCTTTTATTAAAAAGTTCCAAAACAACAGATGCTGGTATGGATGCAGAGAGGAAGGAACATTTAAACAGTGTTGGTGGGACTATAAATTAGTACAACCTCTATGGAAAACAGTGTGAAGGTTTTTCAAAGAACTAAAAGTAGACCTACCATTCAGTCCAGCATCTCACTGTTGGGTATCTACCCAAAGGAAAAGAAGTTATTTTATCAAACCTGCACTCGAATGTTTATCACAACACAATTCATAACTGTAAAGATGTGGAATTCTAAGTGCCCTTCAACTCATGAAGGGAGGGTGCCAAAAATGTATACATATTTTAAGAGATGCTATCTAGGTATTACTTTTTGTTCCCTATAATCAGAGGTATCTGGACACTGATAGTAACCACATTGAGCCCCTCTTGTCATTGCAGAAGTCACATGTGACTTGCATTCATCTCATTCATCTTTTGTTACTGGTATAATTTCAGTATAACAATTTCTTTTTTTTTTTTTTGAGACAGAGCCTCAAGCTGTCCCCCTGGGTAGAGTGCCGTGACATTACAGCTCACAGCAACCTCCAACTCCTGGGCTCAAGCGAGTCTCCTGCCTCCGCCTCCCAAGTAGCTGGGACCACAGGCGCCCGCCACAACACCCGGCTATTTTTTGGTTGCAGCCGTCATTGTTGTTTGGTGGGTCCGGGCTGGGGATTCGAACCTGCCACCTTAGGTGTACGTGGCTGGCGCCTTAGCCGGGTTGAGCTATAGGCGCTGAGCCAGTATAACAATTTCAATAGTTTTTTCCTTTCTTAAAATGTGTATACCTCTTTTTGGCACCCTGTGTACACTCTGTACACACACACACACACACACACACACACATCATGGAGTACTACTCAGCTTTGAAAGGTAGTGACATAATGTCATCGTGCATGAAATTAAAGACCATTATTCTACGTGAAGTATCTCAGGAATGAAAAATCAAACACCAAATGTTCTCACTAATAAGTGGGAGCTAATGGATGGGTACACAAGGGCACAAAGTGATGTAAAGGACATGAGAAATCTAGAAGCGGGGAGGGCAGATAGGTGGCTGTGGGTTAAAAACTCACCTATTGGGTACAATGAACACTCTTCTGGTGATGGGCACACCAAAAACTTGGACTTAAGCATTATACAAGTTATCCATGTAATGAAAACACTTGTACCCCTCAATTAATATTTTAAAATTTAGAAAAAAGAAAAAACATATATTTGGGCAATCTTTATACCAAAAAGAATTTCTTTGTTTTGTTTTAATAGTTGGGCTGGTTGAAGGAGCGTCCGGAGCAGCAGTTACCCAGTCAGAAAAATTCTCAGGGTATGAATAAGCATGCTTCTAATTAATAAACTTTAAAGGTAAAGACATTACCAAAGATGAGGGAAGAAGAAAGAGTATTAAGAGAAATCACTCTTCAAATCACATCCGAGATAGTCCCTCTCATTGAGCCTTGTGTCACTCTTGGTTATTTGTTTGTTTTCCTAAAATTAACAGTAGGGCCGAAATCCATATAGAATCTAAAACACAGGTTTCCTGTCTACTTTCCACTTAACCCCTGACATTGGGCAGTTGATACTGGGTCTCAGCCGGGTTCTCAGTGACAGTGACATCATAGGCTTGCTCCTACAAGAGCAAAGATAAAAAGTAGCACTTACCCATGAGAATCAAATTAAGTGATTTGATGTCTAAGGCATTCTGGCTCAAATGCATCTTTGTTATTTTTTAAGTCTTTTCTTTACATCTGAAAAAAATCAACGTTAGAAGATCAAAATTCTGAAGGGTTTAATTAAACTGCAAAGATCAAAATTGAGGCGGGGGTGGGGGGTGATAATGAAAGACCAGGAAGAAACAGTAACATCTCTGGCTCTCGGAACTGGACCATTTACCCCATTTATTTTTAAGCAGCCTCCTGGGCTCACATCCCTCCCTGGTCAGGGAGAAATTTTATTTTATTTTATTTTTATCTATTCATTTATTTTTTGGGACAGAGTCTCACTCTGTCACCCTGGGTAGAGTGCTCTGCTGTCATAGCTCACAGCAATCTCAAACTCTTGGGCATAAGTGATCTTCTTGCCTCAGTCTCCTAAGTAGTTGGGACTATAGGTGTCCACCACAATGCCCAGCTAGTTTTTAGAGACTGGGTCTCACTCTTGCTCAGGCTGTTCTCAAACTCTTGAGCTCAAGCAATCTATCCACCTGGGCCTCCCAGAGTGCTAGGATTACAGGAGTGAGCCACTATGCCCAGCCGAGGGAGAAATTTTAAATTTAGCTTTTTGGTGGGGAGAGTGTTTAAAAAACAAACTTTATTCCAAACCTTTACCCAAAAAAGTAGTTAACTCTGAAACATTTATAGTCATAAAACTCAAAATATCAAACAAAAACAGCTTTGTGTGCTTAACCACTTTTAAAAATGAAACTTTTAAGTGGAAACATATAGAGACTCCCACATAATTTGGAAGCCATTAGGCAACAAATATTTAATATTAAGCAAAAAGCACTAAAAATACTCAAATTTAGAGAGAATGCCTGTTCAAGTCTTTGACATGCATTTATTTACACATGAGAAAACAGAAATATGATGTTTTTTAAAATCTGAAAACAGAAATATTTTAATTGCAAAAGAAACCCAGTCTGAATGTTCTTTCTTCACACTAATCTCTCTACCTTTGTTTTATGCCTGCATACCTCTCACTGTACCATACATCTTTTTTTTTTTTCTTCAGTTTTTGGCTGGGGCTGGGTTTGAATCCCCCACCTCCAGCATATGGGGCCGGTGCCCTACTCCTTTGAGCCACAGGCACCATCAGTACCATATACCTTGGTTCAACACAATTGGGTTCACTCAAGTAAACCCTCTCCATCCCATTTCATGGGTCCCATCTAGTAACATTATTCCATACATGTTTGCACAGCCTTATACTAAGTTGAGTATTTGAACAGGTAACGTCCAGCTCAAAAACTGTAAACATACAAAAAAGTAAATAGTGAAAAGGCTTGTTCCCTTTAGAAAACTACTTTTATAGGGTTTTTCTTTTTTCTTTTTCTGGAAAATCCTTCAGAATGTCTTTCTGCGTAAACAAAAGCATATATCCTTAATTTCCCAGTCCCTGTTTTACCTTGCTTTTTCCACTTAAACATGCATATGGGAGCTCTTGCCACCAAGAAGAATTTATTTATTTTATTATTATTTAGGAGAAGGAAAGAGACGTGTATCGCTTTGCCGGCAAAGGAGGAAAAGGGCAGACTATCTCCTGAAACTCCAAATTTCTGTTTGTTTTTTATACAGTTTCATAGGGTTCTGCTTTATGGGCACACTCTGATTTACGTAATATAACCAGTACCCTCGGATGGACATCTGAATCATTTCCATTTTTTTCTGTAAGGAATCCTCTTAGATATGCATCATTTTGCACACATGCTAAAGTATAGCAGATGTTTCAGAAGTAGGATTGTTAGACAGAGGACATATCCCTTGTTGATGGAAAAGAAGCTATACTCTGTAAAATAATTCAAAGAGGCTTATTCTGAGCCAGATTTGAGGACCATGACCCAGAACCACACCCAAGAAGCCTCGAGCAAGTGGATTTGGTGTGGTGGGGTTATGGTTGGTTTTATACCTTTCAGGGAGGCAGGAAGCACAGGTAAACTCATACATCATTATGTGGAAGGTGTACGTTTGTTTGGCCTGGGAAGGTAGGACACCTCAAGGCAGGGCCCACAGGTTATAGGTGGGTTTAAAGATTCTTCGGTTGACAATTGGCTGAAAGAGTTAGGTTCAAATAGGCCAGGAGTCTGCAAAAAGGACTGGTGAGTTAGAATAAGGGTCTGTTAGACAGGGACAAACTACAGGACCCATCCCTACACTCAAGTAGTATGCTGTGTGTCTGAGGCCCTGCAGGTGTGCCTTGCAGAGCATTAGGCCTCTTAATGAGTCCCAAAGGACATCTCTAAGAAGGAAGGGGGACAGGATGAGGTATGTTTGTTCACCTTTCTCATGACTAGCAACTCAGTTTTAGGGGATTCCCTTGGCCAAGACCGGGTGCAATCAGTTAGCCACTGGTGGGAAGGAGCCTTTAGATTTTATTTTAGTTCACACAGTTAGGCTTCCAGCAGGAAATAGCACAATCAAGTTAGGATAAACTTTAATTAAGCTAAGGGACTACACTCACGTTCACTTAACAATGGGAATATGCATACATTCTGAGAATCATGTGGTCAGACAATTTCACAGTTGTGCAACATTGTAGGGCATGCTTATGTAAACCTAGATGGTATCACCTACCATGCACATAGGCTACTTTATAACCTATTGCTCCTAGGTTACCATCCTGTGCAGCTTGTTACTGTATTCTGAATACCACAGGCTGTAGCATGTGACTGTTTAGGAATGTGAGCAGGCTGTAGGTAAACCAAGAGGGGGGTCTAGTGCTGGAGCTCACAACAGTGGGGGCTGTTACCACTCTGGGCTGAGGGGACACAGCCAGCCCAAGGGGACCATGCTAGGAGAGGGCCAAGGAATAGGTATCTCTCCCTCCCTTCACTCATTTGGAGCTCCCAATTAGCTGAACCCAACCAGAAGCCACAGAGCAGGGGGTTGGGGTTGTACTTACACAAGGCAGGATCTCAGGGTAAAGGGCCAAGGAGGGGGAGGAGAGAGTGATGCCTGGAGGGGCTGACTGAAGAGACCGGCATTGTGGTTATGCATCTGTGACTTGGACAGAAACTGCCCAGCTGCCTGCCTTCTTGGGGCTGTACCAATTTACATAACCACTTGAGTGTGTGGCTCTCTCCAGAAACCAAAATCACAGAGTTTATCATCAAGCTCTAAGATTTTTCTCAATTCATAAATAAAACATTGTCTTCACACTAATATAAATTTGGATTTCTCTTATTCAGAGTGAGATCTAGTCTCTTTTCATGCATTTAAGAACTATTTGTATTTCTTTTCCTGTTAACCGCCTGTCCTGTACCTCTGCCCATTTTTCTACTGAGTTGTGACTCTTACTGGTTTGCAGGAGTTTCTATTAAGTATGAGGGAAACTGTGATATGAATCACACCTTTTCCTTGTATACCATTAGAAGTTTCTGAGTTTTATGGCTGTAGAATTAAAGGTATTTTTTTTTTCTTAGCTTCTAGATGTTGAGTCATAGAAAGTCTTCCTTACTCCAAGGTGAGAAAGAAATTCATCAAGAATTTTAAGAAGCCCCAATCAGTCTTGTTCCTGTTCCTCAGACCTTTTGTCCCTGTCCGAGAGACTATGCCCCATAGATTCTGGATATGCTTCTGTGCCCTCAATTCCTGGAGCAATGTCACAAAAATGAAAAAACACCATAAAGGAGCAGACTGAGTTCAAACTAAAAACAACTGAATTTAAAAGTTTCCTTGACTGTCACAGTAACAGGGTTCCACTAAAGTATTCTCATAGAGAAACTCAAGAGATTGCAAGGCAAAATTTCCATCCCTGCCACAGACTCTACTACTCACGAGATATCTAGGTGACTTATCCCTGATACCGTGCCCATTTAGAAATATCTGCTGAGATATCTTGACATGTGATGTCATCTCCCACAGTCACTCCGAAATAGAGGGGTGCCTGGCTGCAAACATTCCCCTAGGGCCTGCAGACCAAGCCTGCAGAAAGGCAATTCCCTCACCCCAGCCTGAGGCCTCTAGTCCCTCATTTTTTCCCTAATGTGGCACATCTTCACTTTTGTTATGTATCTGCATAAACACTCAGTCCCCTCAGCAGCCAAGAAAACACACACACAGTCTCTCTCTTTCTCTCTCTCTCTCTCTCTCTCATAAAAGGCCATCCTCCCCCTCTGGGCCAGGAGACAACCCCTTCTCTTGCTCTGCTCCTGGTGAGCCATGTTCCTCATTAAGCCAGTTGTCTGATAACTATATTTTTACTTGGAAAATCTAATTTTCCATCTTGGCATCCTGCCTGAATTATAAATGGGCCTCCTTGAAGCACTCCCTGATTGCAATTAGATTAGTCTTCCTAAAGCATGGCTCTTGTTAGTCTCATCTCTGTACCAGGGCTGGCCTCCAGGCCCCATGCCCCTGCAGACAGACAGAAGGGTCTCATACTTGTCTTAATGCCCTCCAGGGGCTGTCTTGCAATTCTTAACCATTTTATCTTCCAGTATGTGCTTTGTTAGTGGAGTCTGCTGGGACAATGGAGGCTCTGTGCACACAGGCCACTCTGCTCCCTGCATGCTTGGGGTCCCAGCCCCTGCCTGGCTTCTCTGTATGCCCTACAACTCATGATGCTTTTTGTGGAGGACATCAACTAGGTCACATCAGCAGAGAGTCCCGTTACTCCACTGAAGTCCTCCCGGGGTGGGTGCTGAGGAGGCAGGGTTGGCACTCTAGCCCTATCCCACAGACAGGAGTCAGGGGACAGCTAGCTGCAGGTTGGGGCTGGTGGGGATAAGCCTCCTGGTCACATTTGCCCCAAGTGAGCATGACTGGAGAGGTTTAAAGACCCCTGAATGTGGCCAGCATGTTGTGGGCTGGGAGCAGGGGTGCCTGGGAAGGGAAGCCTGGAGGCTTGACCTCCCCAGAGCTCATTCCTGGCTGAAGTGATGGCTGTGGGGGCAGGAAGAGGATGCCTGGAAGTCAAGTGCAAGGGCATGAGCGCCTAGAGCTGCCAGGGCAGAGGCATCTGTGGACATCTGCATTAGCCCCTCAGGATTCTTGTGCCTGAAGGAAGACGCCTTTGGGTGGCTTTGTACCTG